ACTGTACTCGCAGCTTGGGCTATTTGGGATCCAGGAAGGTTCGCTCAATGGGTTATTTGAGGAGTAGCGGAAACGGGGCTGGTATCGAGCATCTTCCGAGTTAGCATGGCTCTAAATGACTGGGAAACAACACTCACTTGCTGTCTGAAGACTTCGTTATTGAGAAAGGCTAGGCCATTGCGATATAAAAGGTCAGCTTATTTCAATGCTTGATTTGGAGGTCAATCCATACCAAAGAGTAGCCGCGAAGACGAACCACGATCGACATTCTTTGGTCCAAAATCACAAAGGAATGCTTGCGAACGACTCTTCAGCGGGCGAAGGATCGGGTATTTATAATTATCCAGCCAAGCATTCAGTCTGCGTGAATGAGATCATCATCATCAATTGTGAGTGTTCAAGCACAAACTACTCTTAAATTGGAGCCGGTTCAACATTTGGTGATTCATCTGACACAACATTCGAACACAACATTCGGAGACATCGCACTTTTCCTTCCGACTCGATATATGCAAGTCCTTTCATCACTGTTGGCACCGTTTAAACAGTGGTGAGCATGCCGCAGGAAAGCATCGATGATCCGTTTCAACATTCACCACCAGGGGCTCATAAGTTATTGCGATAGGTGAGACGGTTACATATCACGCCATTTCATCTCACCCACCAATGATGAGCACAACGCCCTACCAAATGAACACCTCATCAAAGGCAGGCAAACACCATGCCATATTGCGGCCCTGGATCTCCAGCCAAAGGGGAGGGTTATTTATTGCCTACCTCGCATATCGGAGATAAGAAAGCACACCTAAACAATAGCAGTAGATACAAGCTATAGTACGGCGCGGGACTGACTCATACAGCCCCATCTCACAACAGAGTCCCTTGTATAGCTGGCCAGATATTAGGTTGATTACGTTTTCGTAGATCAAACCTCTGCGATCAGCCGCGTCTTTGTAAAGGCATTACCACTCGAATCCCCTGGGAACAAAGTGAATGCGAGAGGGTGGGTACTACAACAAGGAATTATAAGCCAATTAGTGCTATCAATGGCTCACATGCGCGCAAGTCGACTATGAAATGATTGGTGGATATTCGGCCATGGCTCCCAGGAGCCTGTGGGTCATAAATATTGATGCGATCATTGGACACTAGTAATATATCGGAGGAAAAATGAGCCAATCGGTGCTATGAATGATCCACGTCTGCCACAAAGCCCGCGTAGAAATGATTGGCCCAAATTTGGCTGTGAGCTCCTGGGAGCCTGAGCCTACCATAACACCTCCCATAATTGGATAAGGCTGATACAATTATGTCCACAATGTACCCACGTCTTCTCTTCTTTGAACCCGAGATAGAGACGACATTAAGAATTGGTCGTTGAAATTCAGGTGTAGTATTTGCGGATATATTCAAAATACAAGAACTTTGAGTAGGCCAGGTCACAGTATATCGTAAAATTCATTGAAGATTCAATCGGAGTATAAGACACACAGCCGGACCGGGCTTCTTACGAGAACCCTACTAGAACTCGTGGTTCAAAAAATGTACTTTACTGTATTAATTATGAATGAAATTGAAATGAGATAGTGCTGGAGTTTCTGGTGACAGTACCTCATGGTCATCAAATAAGACGTTATTTCCTGCGCAAATAATACATTCACCGTCAGCATCCAGACCCCTACTGCTTTTTGGCCTGATCCAGCTCTTCCATCGCCTTATCATACGCATGGTACAAGGTCCATGAGTAACTGCGCAGACATTCGAGCTCTGAAATGAGATTTTGTCGATCTTTTTCAAGCAGCGATACCTACTTCTTGATTTGGCAAAATAAATGACAGAAACGTGCCCTCTCCCAGTACCCTCTTAAATCGTCAGGCAAAGCTATTCAGACTTAGTAGGAATATGATGATGATGCAGAGTAGACTCACGGTAGCGCCCGTAATGGATATCAGGGGCGATAGCTGTGGACGGCACGTTTCTGTTGGCGGTCATTGCGCAGGTTCCTTTGCAGGTGTACGCCAGTCAGGAGTCGAATGGGTTATGCTTATCACGGGTCCGAATGCACCTTGGGTATTTATATCTCGACCCAGGAGTCACAGGATATAGTGATCCAGCCGAGCCCCTGCCTCCTCTTGAGCACACACAACGCCAAGTCTCTTCGTACATCCGTTGATTAACTGCACCCACCCTTTTAATTCGTCGCTCTATTCAGGCTGCTTGTTACATACGGGCCTCTATGTGTAAGTGAATGCTTCCGTGCAGCACCTTCGGTGCTAGCTAGGAATGGACCTGCCATTATGGGAGATGAAATGCGCGCTCAGAATCGCCGAGAATCGCCAAAAAGCCCACAATATATCGAACGGAAGGAAGTAACAACCTCATTTTTTTGGCTGTTCCACTTCATTATTCTCTTGAAGATCCTGATTTGTTGATTCAGAGCGAGAAGGGGTATATTTGTGAGTATTGAGAGGCCTTCATTATCTGACACACTCTCTTCCCAGTACACTCAACGGCAGATCATTCATTTTGGTGTCGGCAGAAGCTGGGAAATTTGACACCGAAAATACTTAGTCGAGGCTCTCTGAAGTATTCTGCTTCTTGTTCCTGATGCTTCCGCCTCCACTGCAATATGTCGCTAATAGGGACATGACGATGTCGTGGTTAATGGCTTTCATTTAAAGAGGTCCGTCCTCCCCTCATATGCCGTCCTCCAAGTTCCATTGTAAATGGAGCTCCCACTAAGGATGAATGTGTCATCGATTTATGCAATCGCTGCGGGAGGCTGCTTTTTAGCTCTTTTCCTCATCCAGACCCGAACTACGATGATTGGTTGGATCGAGTCCTGCTCTGTTCTGATCTCTCGGTACCTTACACTTCCTGCTCTCGTCCACAGGCATCGTATTTGGGGCCCCTGGTCCCGGTGGAATGTTCTTATCTATTTTAACTACACTGTGGTCAATATCATTGTGGTATTCTTCCATACACACTCCGTCGTCCAAGCTGGCCGGAGAGCCGGAGAGCTGGCTCTCATCAACCTTATTTTCCCCCTCTCGGCCACTCACCTTGAGTACTTGGCTGACCTTCTGGGTATCACCTGGCACACGTGCTGTAAGATTCACCAGGCAACAGGTTGGATGTCTGTTGCTCTACTTTCTTTTCACGTGGTGACAGAATGCCAGAGCCGGGGATTCAGTTTTCCTCTTGGGGCAATACGTAACATATTTGCCCTGATTGTAAGTTTCCTTCTCGCTGTCATGAATTCAGGACTAACGCTGATAGGGGTCAATTTCCTTGGCCACACTTGCCCTCACCTCACTCCCCTGGCTTCGTCGACGGTGCTATGAAGTCTTCCTCCGAAGCCACCAAGCCCTGACTGCTCTCTTCTTATATGGCACGTGGCAACATCTTCCAGACCAGAGTCGCTTGCCAAAATTGTACCTTTACGTGCCGCTGGTAATTTTGGCCCTGACTACATTCCTGGAGGTTGTCAACTTATGTTACATGAACGGGCTGTTTTCGGGCCACGGTGCTCCTCGAGCCTTTGTATCCTTCACCCCAGAAGGATCTCTGACACATCCTAGGCTAAGAAAAGCGGCCCACATTCGTCTGGTTCTGCCCAGATCTATCAAGGTTTATGCAGGCCAGTATATCAACCTGTGGATGCCGTCCGCCGGATCTTGGTCGTGGCTTCAAACGCACCCTTTCATAGTTACATCGTGGTCGCGCGGAAGACATGATGCGATTGAGCTATTTGTGCAGCCACGCGGTGGCATGACATCAGACCTACTGAGTCTTGCCGCTGGCGCTCCTGGCTGTCCTGTACCATTCCTGGCCATGTTTACAGGTCCACACGGTACTAGTGAGATTGTTGACGGGTTTGAAACCGTGCTACTGATTGCGAGTGGTTTCGGGATCGCTGCAACAATCCCCTATCTGAAGAAGATGATACATGGATATAATACCTGCACACTTCATGTCCGTCGGCTGCATTTGGTATGGCAGATAGAATCAATTGGTGAGAAGACCCTTCCGCTTTCAGTCAGACAGCACCAGAACTAACAAATTAGAAATGGTTAGCGCAGCCGAGGATCTGCTGAACCCCCTCCTGGAGGACGATATCATAGATAAAGGCTATGTAAGTGTCTGGCTTCAAAATGGAAACTTCGTTTAATATTGACGGGAAAACGTCTACAGATTCTCAGCATTTCAATCTACGTCGAAAAAGGGCTTGCTCATGATAAGACGCCAATAGGAAAACATGAAAGAGCCTGCTTTTACCAGGGAGTACCCGATTATGACAACATAGTCTCGCTCGAGGCATCGGGAGACCAGATAGAGAGATTACCGAACATCCACGATGAACAAGGCCGGATTCTGGTGATGGGCAAGTGATCCTACTGTAGCCTGGCTTTATTTTATCGTATACTAATTTCTTTCCAGTTTCAGCAGCAGGTAGCCTCAGAGACCAGATCCGACAGACCGTCAAGGGCCTTTTGCATCGTGGCGTGAGGCTTTCGGAGCTGGAATACCAGCCGGAGTAATTAAATGATAGGGAGATCGCATGCAGCAAATGCAATGAGTAGACCCGAGCATATAATGAAAGTTGGAGTCTCTTTCTATGCATTTGAAAATGTAGTAAAAATGTGATATTTGGGCACTTGGAATGCGATCTACAACGGACAAACTTGCCGATTTGATCTCTGAATTTCCCGGGTCAGCCAATTTAAATGAGCTACTTGGTCAATTACGAATTTACTAGGGCCAGACAGTACACTGAAAAACAGCGGCTAGACCTTGATTGAGGATGCAATTAATTCAAAATTCTTTTTTATCAAATTCAAGACGGGTATTATTTAACAGCAGACAGAACAAAAGCTTGAACCATGGAAACAGGAAGTTCGTCGGTTACTGTACCGTGCATGAAATTTTTCTATCAGTCGAACTATTGCTGCTGTGGCCAACAAAGCAGAGGGTGGCAGTATGGAAATTTGACTTCTGCTTCAATCGTTCTTCATGGGGCCTGGCGTGTACGAGTAGAATGTGCGAGCAGAGATCAACGCGAACCACGCAAGTCCGATGAGATTCCCTGGGCAGCATGAGATTTCCGTCAACAGTCGTTGCTAGATATCATTAGCACCATTTGAAAAAAAAAAAACTGTTTTGGAAACAAATCGAGAGAAACAAACCTCTTTCAGTTCTTCAAAAGAGCCTGCCGAGGTCGTCGCGCAGAGAAATTCGATCGCAGCCGGGCAGGTTCTCCAGCGGTCGAGATTATCAATTCCTACTGCCCTATCTTCTTTGACATATTTTTGCATCAATTCCATCATAATTCTCGACACTGGCGCCAGGTCACTGGCATCGGCTCTACCTCTTTGCTGGAACACACAGCAATCGATCCGTGCTACCGTGCCTGATTAGGTGAGATTGACTGGGAAGGTAGAAATGGAATGAACTTACCAATTTTGATACGCCCATTCAAATTCACAAGGACGCTAGAACAGTCCAGAGATGTGTGATGGAAGTTGTTCACCACGAGATATAACAGCCCGTCAACGAGCTGTACATAATCAGCCATTTGGCCATCTGGCAGATAGGTGAGAGGAATTCAGGAACAAACCTGAGACATTATGGCTGCCAGCTCCTGCTCGTCTGGGAAGGCTTTACAAGCGACGATATGATCCAGAACGAGAGGGTCGAAATCCCCCCAGTGTGTACAGAAGCTCGGGAGTGCGGAAACACTCCCGAATGGAGGCCAGGTTCTCATGGCGCATGGAGCGGAGGATCCGCAGTATCTTGTCAGCGTCCTCAATCGGATACTGGCGCACCGCCCAGACACCGCGGTCTCCAGATGATCGAACGCATACCGCGACGGGGCCAGCTAGGTCACAATCGTAGTACTTTCTGAAAGTACCCCAAGGAGATTCGTCTCGGACTGTCAGGCCCGAACCGATAATGCTCCGCCACTGCATAGTCTCCTGGCGAGGCGGGCTTTGTGGCATCGATCGATTTTTCTTGCCGGTGTGCTCCGAAGTTGAGGAAGTGATGGACCTCTTTCCAGGCGCGGGTCCTAGATGGAGAGGTTGTGGGCCGGGTATGAGGTCCGTTACCGGTGATACTTCTATTTGGGTTTGCGGCTGGGGGAGTAATGCAACCTGAGCGGCCTGGATTCTTGTCACTCTCTTTTCGCCGAGTTTTCGCATCATGGAAGCAGGATAGAATTTGGCTAATAGTTGAAAGCCGAAAAGGAGCACGAAACAGAAAGGAAATTTTGCCCGATTTAAATGGGTATTTCGTACGGGTGGAACACTAGGGTGTTGGATCAGATCTTCACCGGCAAAAAACGCAGTGCCAACGTTGAGCCACCACGAGGGCGTCCAGATGTACTTATAAAGGCATTCACGCCCGATAAAACCAAGCCAATCCTGAGCCCCATATTTCTCCTGACACCATGACTCGACACGTCTTTACCGAACAAGAAGTGCGGCTCGCAGCAGAACGACGAATGAAATACATTAGTGCAGCTAAAATCAGCATCTGCCAGATTCAATTCGAACCTCCCTTACCACGGGACCTGGACCCTAAGAATTTGGACCGGCTACGAAACATCTTCCGAAAGAATCGTTGTCGCCGCCTAGATGTCCAAAACCATGTTCCAGCAACCGTGTCTCGACATAATCTCGCAGAAGCATTGCAGAAGGCGAATGTTCCCCAGGAAGCCTTGCTGACAACCGAAGGCCGGCAAATTCCTCGACTGGAATTTAGAGCGGGACAACTTCGGGGTCTCCATGGCCGTCATCGTGTACAAGCGGGTGTTGAGGTACTTCCTCCGGCGGATCGCTGGTGGACGGTTGATCTCTACACAGACGGTACGTGATATACCCGGGCGCTCCCATAGATTGATCCTGACTGTTCCAAAAGACATCGACCGAGAATTGAGAGCGGCGTTGGTGGATGAATATTCCAATCAGAAGAAGCCGACCGATGGGGAAGTCTATCGCAAGATCAGACAGTATGAGGGCGAGGGCAATGAAGCTTTTCGAGAGCGTTGGTTCGTGAGACTATCGCCCAGCAATCAAGAGCGCTTGGATCAACTTGACAATAAAAAGAACCGTCGCCTCCGGCATGCATTTGACCGATTGTTGGCCATTCCCGGGCTTTGGCCGGGTGGGATGAGAATCAGCCTCCTTCATCGATTGATCGCTTCGGGCTGCGTTGAGGTGAGCTTCAGCCCAAGTTGCTACATTTTTTCTAGCTAATGACGACTCTTCGTCTCTCAGGAGATAGGAACCTATTTCGAGCACATCTTGGACTTCTGGTCTTCTCTGGTGGGATCGGATCGGCGTCTGATGAAGAAAATCGATCAGGATACGATTCACACGCTGCAGTTACTGGCACCAGGTAAATCACGCACTGATGAGAGGAAGGCATGCGGGCTGGTTCTCAGTGGACATGTGTTTGCCGAATTCAGTGCTGATGAGCGAAGCACGATATGGGCCAGAATGAAAGGTTATGATGGCCTTATTCCGTCCTTGTACACTTTCTTTGAGGATTTCAAGTACCTGGAGAGTTGCGCTCAATGCCTGAAGCGGCTTTTGGGTCCATCACCCCGATCTGTGAGGGAAGGCATGAGCTCGATCTTTGATCCAGACTCGGAGCCTGAGAAAGATCACCGAGAGAAAGGGAAGTGTATCATTCAGACCTCAAAGTCTACCTTCCGACGCCTTCATGCGCCCGAGACGGAATGCCTCGAGACAGGATACCAACAGTTATGGCTGTATGCTATGCGGCATTATCCACTGATGCCCCCGGACCCCAAGAACTCTGATGATCTGTTGGCCAACCCCACTCGCGCTAAGCCGGACCCGCGCGCGATCTACGACATGGCCCATCTAGCTCACCGGCTCGGCTTTAGGTCCCCAGAAATTGATGGGCTGCTGAACAGTTCTCCGGATCACCAAATTGCACGATCGGCCCTTCTCCAGGCCCGGAAGCCAGGCCGGTATAGATACGATGACCAGCACTTTGATATTCTGGTGCGCCGGATTGTAGAGTGTTTTACTGAAGCTGTGCCCGATCGGCCCGGTCCCCCGCGAGATCTTTTGGCAGACAGCACCGTCAAGACGCACGCTCGCTCTGGGGTTCCGCAAACCCGCACCCATGTTCAAGATGCCCCTTTGTTATTCTTAGATCGACTGCATGCTGATGTCGATGCCGCCGATACAATCACTAGCTTTTTTGTTCGGCGTTGTGTCTTTTTCGCCTTTTTGGGGAAGTCATCAAGGGTGGGGCCAAGCTCCACCACAGAGAATGGTGGTATGAATGCAGACACAGAGGCGGAGGGGATGCTACAGTCGCCATTGTTTATCGAATGCCACGACCCAATGGATGGATCTGCACACCACATGGATACATCAGGCAGGTCATCCCTTCTTCGAAAAAGCAATTTCCCTACACACCAACTGGTTTCCTGTGAGACGGAAGGCTCAGAAGTTGCACCTGAGCCGATGGACTTAGATCGGATAAGTCCTTCAGGTGGAGATCACACCACTCTCAGACGGACACATGACGAATCGGTGCTGGGAACGGATCTTTCTCGCTGCTCACCCAGAGCTGAGCTAGCCCTTGAAGATGCTGGAAGCGAATGTACTCAGATCTCGTTGGAGACAGTCTCGCTTCAATGGGGTCAGGACGAAAGAGCGACAGAAGAGGAGCTCAACCCACACACTGCGTCTGTGCCCGAAAGCGCTGCTCAGTCATTCACCAATCCTACGTCACAGCGACGGTCTTCATCAGAGACGGTAATCCTGTCAGAAGAAAGCCGTCCCCCTATGTCAGAAGAGCTGGAGGCTTTCCTTCATGGTCTCAGAAGGGCCCAATCAGAGCAGGAGGAGCTAGAAGAAAGGAGGGAGAGCGACCGGCTCAACGAAGAGCTCAGTCTACTCCATCATAAGCAAACTGAGCCTGAAGACCTAATTGTGCCAGATAATACCCACAACTCTCTGGCAACCTCGGGTGATCGCCTGGCGGAGGGAATACACAGAGACACCGAACACATTACAGCACAAGATACTGATCCCAAAGGCCAGGCATCTACACAAGAGCTGATTGAGATCAAGTTCTGGTCGCTCGAACGAAGTCAGTGGAATCAATCAGACTGTCTCCTCGTAGACCCGTCCGACCCCTCACCCATGGAGCGGCTCGCACGAAAGTATTCCTGCAAAGGATTTACACTCTACGATGTGAGCCTCAAAAGCCTTCGTCCAGCCCATTGTTACCACGCAGCAACAGCGGATGATACCAATGCGATATTCTTGATTTCCGCACATGAAGAGAAAGCCATTGTGGCCGCGGAAGGATTAAGGATGGAGGAAAAGCTGATTTCAATGGCTGCTCGCGTTGTGGGACGTGCACGATATTGATGAACCAATTTGCCCGGCGGTGCGCGGTACAATCGGGATCTTCATGTGAATCTTTGGCTCCTAAGAGTTTCTTCTTGGGGAGCAGATGAGCACAAGAAATTTCTTCTGAGAGGGCCATGTTTCTAGGCCAAGTCTCCTAGAAGGCCCTTGTTCTTGTGAAGCGCTGCCAACTAAGATAACAGCGACTGAGCATACAAATCTACTTGTATCTCGTAGTGCGGACAAGTTTGTAAAGAAGACTGCCTCTGGAATATAATTTTTTATGCAGAACAACAGCTTCACAATAGCAACCTTCACAATAGCAACCTTCACAATAGCAAACAGAAGAATGCCAGACAGGAATTGATGCTAGTGGAAGCAGAAAAAACAAACATCTCAACAACATGATATGAAAGTATATTGGTGGACAATTGCACATATCGATTTATCTTTACGATGTTGGGTGTCAGATAATCATCACCGAATTGATCAATTATCATCGTTGATAACAAGGTTTTCTGGTGACACAATATATGATAAAGCTTTTGCCACCGTTGGCACCATATGAGCAGTCGTGCGAATGCCGCAGAAAAGCTTCGATCACGCGTTCAACGTTCACCACCAACCTTTAGCTAGGTACCATTTCTCTGAGACAAAATCTGGCTTACTTTCTTACAGGTAGATGTTGATCTTTGAATGTTGAGACAAAGCTGTTGATATACACGAAAAGATGCAGTCATGTTGGAAAAACACTCAATATGGTTCATCAGCAAGGGAAGACTGGTGTAGCCATGAGCAACAGCAAGTATTTGACTGTGCAGTATGCAACAGGTCAAATTGGAGAGTTAATTTACTCGGATTTCTCCCCAGTCACCGGTAATTGCTGCAACTGTGCAGGTTATGACGCAGTTCACGGCTTTTCCAATAAACTAAAAGTCTCGCCACCAAGAGAGCTGCTATCGTGGCAGTAAACCCAAAAAAGTCCAGCCCTTGTCATCTTTCCTGACTCCCTGTGAACACGATTGAAAGGACAATATCGATATTAGCTACTGATTTCTTCTAGAAATAACGCAACCTAAACCTGGCTCTTAGCCTCTGCCAACATAATTTGTCGCCGGTGTGGAATGAAGCTGGACTCGTCTTTGTGATTGAATGCGAAAAGATACACCAGCTCACCTTGGCTTAATTGCAAAGAGTGCTCCTAGTAGGTATGCTAACTCATGCTCATCTACTCCACATTATGCTAACGGAGAAGGTGCCCTTGATAGAAGACCTACATTCACTGTCCCCCAAAATTCAGGCAAAAGCTCATCTCTCCTTCTCGCTATCCCTGGATTTGATTCTCATGGCTCAAATTTTGAGCGAGAACAAAGGAATCAGACGACTTGTCTCTAATGAAGATCTCATTGGTAAGTGATCTAGTAGCAAGAATCCTCGTGACGGATATCTGATTGTGTCGATAGATTTCTCGGAAAGATTTCTTATCAGCCTGTGGTCTCCTCTAGCGAAGAACAACCCCAACAAATCGACTGGGTTTCGGGTTTATCTGAAAAATATCCTTCGAAGATCTCATACAACATACCATACACTCATCGCGGCATTCTACTATCTAGCTCTCTTGCGGTTCACGATTCAGCAGAAGTTCTCCATTGAACCGTTCGGAGTGCCCAAGGAGCTTCAGCCTCTACAGTGTCGGCGGCGAATGTTCCTCACAGCTCTTATTCTGGGTTGGAAGTTCACTCAGGATTATGGGTACTCGACGCGACGCTGGGCATCCTTCTCGGGTCTAAGCGAAAAAGAGCTAAATAGAAACGAAGGATTGTTTCTTTCCGTGATTGATTGGCGCCTCTTTATATCGCATACAACGTTCTCTCACTGGAAATCAGAGGTACTGTACTATGTTCAAAATCCGGATGTTGCTTTATCCGATTTTACCTCTTTCCAGTGAGAAAGCAGTATACTAACTAGAATCATGTGGATGGATACCAAAAGTATCGCCAGGTAGGAGTAGCTTTCACCACTGAAAATGATATATTTGAAGCTTAAAACTGATATTATCTTTCCATGGAGCCCTGCTTTCTATCTACTGACTACTTACCACTATTCTGTGTCCTGAGAGGTAATTGCAACATGCCAAACCAATTATAGACGATTTTCATGGTACATTGCAGTTGTGGGAGTTTTTACCTAATATTGTTCCATCTCTTATGCTTGGAAGATTGAGAGCACCCTGAAGATAGAAACAAAATTACGGGATGCGTCTTCCTGCCTAATGTGATCATGGTCCGTCTTGAATGTGTAGTTAAAACTATCAACCTCAAGGTTTCATCAATGCAGTACAAAAGGCCAGCCAAACTCTTTCCTGGGGCCCCAAGTTGCTAGAGCCAGTTGTCGAAGAAACACGATATGCTTTATCGATTACGGAGGAACGTTGAGTATGAAAGAAGATGGATGATTCTTGTTGCCAGTGCTTCATGACTATAAAATAGAATCTCATTGACGCTTCCATTTGCTTTGGATACCATGGGCTTAGTTAATGACACGCAAAAACGTGAACCAGATAGAAAATGGCTACCAGAGTGCCGAAGATAGCTTTGCTGGTAGCGCCATAATACATGATCTCGTAGTATGGAGTATGATCCTGACCTGTGAAGAATTCGAAAGAGGACTGAAAGCCGCGGACCTGACTGGCAAGGTAGCCTTCGATGCATACAAGAGGAAAACTCAACAAAAGTTGGATACAGCCGTAAAAAGTCCGAGCCTGACTGTCCTTGCTCAACAATCTAGGCTGAAAAAGAAGAGCGCTTCCAAAAATTGAAAGCAAAGCTGAAAAAATTGCCACTGCGAGGGCTCCACCAAAGACTTTGTTCATGAGGCGTTTGAACTCTATGTCCAGAATCCAGGCGTTGCCACTAGCTAGGTCATGCGTTGTGCGGTCAAGCAGAAGACTTGCACAATACGCAATTATGGAGCTGAGGCTGGCAACAGCTAGCCAAGTGGTCACAAGGAAGAATGTCGTCAGACGCGGCTTCTGTATGGGGCTTGAATTATTGGAGAGCATGTCAGGTCTGCGAGAAGAATCGTTTCGCAGAATCAGAATTTGGTATCTGAAAGAGAAATGGTGTGGTGAGAATCAGGGATATGAGGGAGCTCAAAAATGTTTCGTGGGATCTAGATAAGTAAGACAGTACCGAAAAGTCACCTCTCTGTACCTCATGTAACAACAGCGGACAGACCTAAGTTGGGGAACGTTCGACCTTCAACCTTTTCTTGTGGTATCGCGCGGTGTTGAGATGATCCCAACAGGGAGTAATAATCATTGATACAGTTGATGGTCAAGAAAAATCAGAAGGGGTTCAAAGACGCATTGAATCAACGATGAGACACTTAACCAGCGACGATTAGAGGGTCGTCTGTGATTTTGCCCTCATAATTTGAAATTATCCATGCATCGGCTCAAACAGAATGACTAGCTGGTACCTCGAGATCAGAACATTCGTTCTCAAACATTCCTTGGTCAATCTGAGCCAAGGAATTTCAGCGCTTTACATCTCTGCCGACATCTCTTTGAATTAGAGGGACTCCAAACACAAATGCAACTTTTATTAAGCTGGCCTTTCACAGCATCGCACTAGCCAGCTTTTTCCGATACTGAAATTTTTGAAGAGAAAGTGAGTGTGGTTGCCCCGTCATCTAGAATCGTGCTGGCATGGAAGATGCTTCGTATCAGTTCCTCCTACACCACACCCTAGGAAACCACTGAGCGAACCTTCGATGATCTCAAATTATCGCAACTGCGAGTATAGTGAGTTATAAGTTCTTTCTCAAGCAACTTACTAATGATTAATGATAGGTCGAATTCGTTCCTTATGCAGTCGCTTCAACCTTGCTAGAATGCAGCGGCAGCAATAGCTGATAACGCGACTTTTGTCAGTGCGGCAAGTTTAAGTATATTAGAGCATCAAGTCAATCACCGATATGAGGATAGCCAATCTGGATGCCGGCTGAAGTTCAAAGTAATCCATTGGTAGGAATGCTTGTTTCTTCTGGTCATTGGTGGCACCTGAGGAGCTCGCGAAGAGAACCACGCGGGCAGTTGAATACCGAGAGGTCCTGCCAATGGGACAAATATTAGCAACGTCTTTAAGATTCTTACGCGAGAGCGCATCTGCTAATACATTCTCCCTGGAGGGAGCCAGTTTGGCACGATGTGGATGTCTCTCGCCACCGCTAGGATAAGCAGGCTCTTCGGGGGTGTGTTAGGCGGACCATGAAGAGATCCTTTCTTTAGTCCCGTCCGCCTTTTGGCTAACGTTACCAAGTAGTCGTGCGCTTAGCCATGAGGTCAATGAATGTCTTGAAACTGGCCATGCGGATAAATTTTGTAGCGCGCAGTGCTTTTCATAATTGCGCTGAATGGAGAGGTAAACAGAACGTGTGTTTCCTGCATTTTATGAACAAGCAAATGAAGATGCTATTCTCTTGCTAGACTGCATATGTGTTTTGCTACCATTTGGACTCTATATACCTACGTGCATTTGAAATTAGTGAAAGATGATTTGTAGAGCAGACGAAGGGATGTGCGTTGATATTGCCATTTTGGATTATCCGATGCACCAAGTTTCGCGAAATCAGTGGTAGGGGAAGCATAGTGAACGCGGCGATGAAAATGTAGTTTTTATTGTGGAGGCAGTGATGCCGTGGCTGAATGCAAACTAAGCCCGTAGGCCAGATGGCTGAAGAGGCCTGGCAATGAATCTTTCGTAGTTGAGCAAGTCATACCAGTTATCTAGCCTGGCTCTTTCAACTCCATCCCACAGGAACAATTTAACATGAATAGCGGCGGTAGCGTTGTGCATTCCTGGTTTGGCCCTGAGTCGCGTCCTTCGGTACATTCTGCGACCGGCAAAGACGTGCATTGCGAGCATTCTGGCGGGCTCGGATCCATTTCCGATCCCGCCTCTGATTTCCTCGCCGCCCACTTTTCATCCGTCTTGAGATCCTGTAGTCCCTAGGAGCCCGCAATCCAACCAAATGATGGGCATTTTTCACGGATTGCTTATGCATTGCATGTATTCCATCAGCAATGTCAATGCCGCAGTCTGCCGTATCGTGAGCAATCCGGGCTGAGGTGCATACATTCTGCGACCTTCCATATTCACCACCCCTGTCTTGACAGCCAGTCTTTTGTACGTCGTCTTCGTCTTCGCCATCCAGTTTCGCATCCGCTCGCGCACTTCGGCTTGCAAGATCCAATTAGCTATCGTTACTACGCCTTTGATATGCAGAATTCGTGAGGGTGGACAGCTTACCTGCCGGGAAGACCATAGCGTTTTATGGCCCTTGGCTGATGATGCCCGGAGAGCGCTTGTAGCAAACAAGCCATGCTCGCTCGCTCGTTGCCCGGCCGCTCTTGCGCCGGTTGTGCTCTGGAGGGTGGGTATGAATTGCGCATAGCCAGGTCGTGAGGATGGGTATGTCCTGCTGGGAAATCAGGTACCGTTGCAATTTTCACGTCTTGCTCCCGTCCATTGGAGCATAGGGGCATGCTCATGTCAACCAGATCACCCATTGGGGTTCTCCGGTAGCCCCTCGGAGCCCATGGTCGTCGCATGAGGATGATAGTCATCGCAACAATACCAGGTCCACGATCCAGAGCATCGCGATCCGCAGTGACCCTTCTGTGCTCTTCTGCGTAGGTACAGCTCCATTCGACCGAGGCGTCTTGTCTTCGTCGCTCATGAATCAGCTTATCCACATGAACCCGTAGCTCCGTCGGCAGAGCCTGATACTGATTCGCCGCAGAAATCTCGAAAGCTCGCTCGTAGATCATGCGGTAGAAGTCAGCCTGAGTAAGATGCATCCGAGTGCGTTCTACCGGGTCCCATGTCATCCTCTGTCCTGGCAGAGGATCAGCTTTGAAAAGCAGATACCCTTCATACACGTTGCAAAAAAAAGGCTGATCCATGGCTGGAGTGAAACGGGGTAATGGGTTCAGGCTGTGACCAGAGGGTGTGGGATGTTCGAGAGAAATGGCTAAAACTTTGGAGAGATCAGTCCGTCCACCACCGACCCCGACTTATACTTTTCCGACCGCAACGAATGGGGCCTCATCAGGAACGAGCCTGGGTGAAGTGGAGCTAGATTGGATGGCACCCAATCTTTGGCCATTTCTCTCGGCTCTCCAGTACATCCTTCGCCTCTTCACTTCTCAACATGGAAGCTATATAGTCAGTACGTTACTCCCACATCGCATGACCGCGAATAGTGCATGCCAATCTTGTTGAAAAAAGCGTACAGAAGAAAGTTTACGGATAAGTGCCTCGGGGTGCGGTCCTGGGAGATACTAAAATGAGTGCCCTCCCCTTACGATGATAGCTTTTCAAACGCCTCACAATAATGTAGAAGCTCTACTATGAGGCTATTCCGACCAACATTGAACGAAGTGGAGTGGCCGTCGTACCGGGGTAGTCGTGCCTACTCAACTTTACATTAGTTGAATGCACTCCATCGAGGAAGGGCTGGCTGGCAGTGTGTTTCACATTTGAGTTTCTAGGATCACCATAGCCACCTCAAATTATTACCAATTTATTAGTTCGGATGGCATATGATGGTTAACCCCTGATGAGCAGTCTTTCTACGCTACATACGCTTCCCAATTTGAGAGCTCCGGGGCTTGAAGCATGATTCTATGCCGGGAAAAGCTGCGACGTGGACTCAAAAAAAGTAACATGGCGTGATAGTCTTCACTCACAGCTAGAGACTCTGGTGGGACTGTAAATTTGAATGGCGCTGGAAGCTAGTTCACCACGTGTTGATCTAGCAACGAGGGAGATGGGTGTTGGTCTAGCAAATGCAACATGGTAGCTCCACCACGCTAGCTCCCAGGATCACACTATTACAGAAATCAGGGCTGATGTCCAAACTCCGATTGACCAATCCCGGCACACAATGATAGGAGTAGGCATGGTAGATCCTGGCATTGCCCAGGTAAACCGAAAGAGGGCCTACAATAACAACTCTCCTGAAGCCAAGCAAGTTCAGCGGTCTAACCTACAGAAGGAATTCCACCACCTATTGCGAGAGGCCAGCGCGAACTTGTCCCATATTATGACGGTTGGGCTATCGAATCGAGTCCAGGGGCAATGCCACTTCCAGACCCTAGATCGGCACTCGGAGATCCCAATCGTAGCTCCACACGTTTGCGGAAATTGCTCAGTTACGATTCGATTAGAAATATGAAATCACATCCAAAGCCGGCAGGCCATGGCCTCTGTGTCTAACCTTTACGATACTGTACAGTACATCTTTTCTTATGATTGGAGTTGCCTCTGCTGGAGGACTGATACTGCGTTTTGCCCATTTTGTCCGATTGTCAATGCACGGGGCCCCTTATGTGCCGGGAGATAGAAACCGAAAGGTTCGAATTGAGCATTAGTATGATACAACCAGGTGGTATTCCGCACCCAGAGTATTTGGTAACGTATGGCTATCTCCATGGACCACATTTAATACCGTCCTGTATGAGAGCCAGGATGAGAGTACATAGTCGGATTGCCGCAGCTTCCATTGGTCAGCATAAATGCTATATTACGGTTGGAAGTTCTCCAGGGCACCAAAGAGCATCCTTTCATGAAGGACCGAGCACACTTCAAGTCTAGGCCTCCCTCTCAATGGCTGGAACAGAGTATGGGGCTATAGCTATGGTCGTTCTACTTCCATGATTCAGTTGCCACCTTTGATTGTTGGAATGTGACCCACAGACCTAAGAGACCCATTGTTAGATCATCTGGCGAGGTCCACGGAAAGGGTGCTTCTCATCAAATACTACAGCAGACAGCATCTTTCGGATCTATCATTATATGGTTCATATGATGTGGCGCTCCATTGATAGCGTTCGCCCTCGTCTCCGAACTATGAGGGGTGGCGTTTGGGCCATCCAATTGTGGATAGCGAGATAACCACACTAAGTTAATTTTACACTGTGAATGTAATGTGAAGGCGTCTCCGGTCTAGAACCACGAGTTCTCCACTTCTTTACGTCGGGTGTTGTGAATAACTTTGAAAAGAAAGGTAGTCCCCGACTTTGTCGTTGGCAAGGCTCGACAAGCCCTCGATCAATATCCACTCGCACTGGTCGAATAACTGCTCACCACAATTGATTGGTTTCTCCTGTCACATTATCGCACCAAGAGTAGCAAGTAATGATGATTCGCGTCGGAAAGTATGTTGCATTTCTCTATCATATTAGATTACGGTATTAATATCCACAGGCGCGGCGGCTACGATACAACAGGAGTGAAGAAGCCGGGTGCCCCCCCCTCCACCCCCGAAGTGACATCAACATACTGTCGTTGAATTCTATAACAAGAAGAGACTATTCTGAGCCCTACTAGAGATGCAGCGAGAAAGTAGCAGCTGTTTTGTTCTTCGTGATTTATTGTTCGCCACATCATCATAATCCTGACCCTAAGAGAGTCATCCATCATCCCTCTTACTAGCTCTTTCAAGGAAGAAATGAACAACATGTACTTTTGTTATTCGACTTATTTTGTTCGAGCCACGCTGCGCTATTTGGGGCCTCGTATTTGAGATGGTGTCGATTCGGCTAGCGTTACTGTCATATTAATATTGCAAGTTTAACTGCACGTCTTTGTGATGCGAATTTGTAAGGTGTCTAACTAGGCTGTAGGTGAGCAGCTTGCGGCTGTAGAGAAACGAGCAAAATTGAGTTGATCGAAGAAGGCGACTGCTCGAAGCTACATTCACTCTGTGAGTATATTGGGTTGAGCTTGAGTGGGAGCCCGGAACCAGAATGAATGTTCATTTAAATTCCAGAGTATGGTGAGAGAATGCCCGAGCCTGGCTGCGTAGGGAAACGGAATCAGCACGAAGGACCTGATACACAAGGGAAGCAAGACACCTTGATAGTATTTCTGACGGTATGATCATTCTCCCTTGTCTCTTTGTCCCTCCAGTCTTTGGCACCGGTCGCCTAGTATTGAATAGCTTTCCACCGAATGGATATGCACACCCGATGACAATATTCCCCCACCCAGGGGTTTCGAATGCATACAGCATGTAGAAGTGCGGTCAATTAGCCAGATATCAAAGGTGTAACCGGATGGTTGCTCAACAATTTGGGATCGCTGGCCAGGAGCAATCCTGGGACCGAGGGGAATATTAGACCGGGGTGGCGGATAGGGAAGATCGAGGTGTCGTGTGCAATTCCTCAGCAAGAAAAAATTAGCAAGTCTCTTTTTTTCTTTCATGACATTCGAGTTTGTTGTGGACCCTGGAGTGTTGGGATGGAACCGCCACAGCTCTTTATGAGCCCCCAAATGCGAAATTTACCTCCTGTGAATAGTGATTACCGTGGCCTTATCAACATACTTAGAGGAGAAGTTCCCTTAACAGGCTATATGTCTCAAGGACTGGACTGTAAGTCAACTCCACTTGAGGCTCTCCTTCTCTCACGGATACGATGGCCCAGATATCGCAGCAGGGGCATCGTAACCTCCATCTCGGGCGGATTTGAAGCGAAAGACGAAGCTGTAACGGCCTCCTAATGGAAGACCAAGAATTTCATGTCATGATTAGAGTTAGCTTCTTCTAAGTACCCTGGATAGTAGGTCTTACCATGACGGAAGATCGGGGAATCAGAAGGGAGCTTGGTAGTCAAGGCTGTCGAGCCTGGAACGCGAAATACAGGCTGTTGATTCTTGCAACATTGCTGTTAGTGTCACACAAATGGATGCTCAAATGCACCTGTAAAGATGTTCCTGGCTTAGCAGTGTGGTAGTATGCAATGTGTTGCAGACAGGGAGTCTGGTGTAGTGCGCTGTAGAGGAAAGGCTCTGCCAGATTAGGCGGTCGTTCCACTCCCTTTTCCCGGTCGGTCTTTCTTCCACGGGCAACCCATTGCATCAGATCACCATTCGGCTGCTCTTCTTCCTAGCATTCAAATATCTTTCCACTGCAACTATAAGGCGTGGTTGAGTCACCAGAAATAACCTCTCTGGAAAAGTCTACCTGAGCTACTGAAAAAACTCGCCAATGTTCAACAAGCGCTGCTCTGTCCATCAGAAATCTGCAATGCGTTCGACACGGCCCTGCATATCTCAAAGGTATGACTCAGATAGTCTTTTGACATGATCCGGGCCATGTAACTGACAGTGCATTGTTTCTAGCCTATTCGAAGTTCATCAAGAGACGCGGAACCTCTCAATCCTTGCACCCGACGACAATAGAGGACAAGAGCTTTAGTATTCACAGGATGGCAGACATTGGGGGCACCTCAATGAATATCTATGGATATTGGTCGTATTTCAGACTTCACATCCCACAAATGATCATTGCCGTGGCTTGGGGGTGGAAAAGGAGAAGGATCACACCCAATACGGAAATGGACCAGGATATCCCATCAACATGGACATATAGGGCATTGATGATGGTTGTTGAGGTAAGTCTCCATCGACCCATGTTGACAATTGGAGTTGTTTCTGACAGTATGTGGTCACCAGAAACACGCAATTAGTCAATGAACAAGATTCGCATGGTAACCGCGTTGGCCACTCTGTGAAAGACGAAGGCAAATTGAACCATGTGAACATCGACCCCGGCTGTTTTACTCATTTCCTGTGTGGAAAAAACTTGGGCAGGTAATTGAAAGACCTTGTCATTGGGCAGCTTAGGGTTATAGAGGCGCCAATCGAAAGATCAATCACAACCGTGGAAATTTTTTCCCCGCTTACGCACAAAAATCATGAACATAAAAGGAGGCATTTGGAAACGCGGTCGCATATTTCTGGTTCTTCCTTGCGGTAGCATTGTCGGTCGGAAGAGCCAGCACTGCTATGCTGTACACCGCGACAAGTATAATGGATGCAATATTTGGCATCTAGTTAGTTGAAACGAATACATACGAGGGCAGTGCATGACAGTTCAGTAGTTGGTGAGCCGAGCCGAGCTCAGAAAATGGCTACCCCAAAAACCGGGCCGTTGGGGGAAATATTGGAAGTCGCCAATAGCGATGCAGCCGCCAAAATTTGCAGGTGGGCTGTGGTTCCGGTGTATGTTTATTGTCCGCTCTCGAAAATTCTCTGGATCAGGATATACCAAAACAAGAAATAGCGCAAGGTTTGGGTGACTGCATTAGTTATAACCCGCAAGATCCTGGGATGGCTGTATCGTATCAGGCGCCATATTCATGAGGTGTCCCACAAGACACCTGGCGATTTGGTGGATGAATCTGGTATTTGAGGCACCCCTGGCTATGACGATCCAACCACGAGTCTCAATATGTAAGGAAAGGATGAAATAGAAAGTGATGCCAAACACAGCGAATGGAGATCATTCGTGGAGATTGATCCATGTTAATTCGATCCCTAGGAGGAAGATCCCAACCGGAACGTGCAATGATCAAGGCAAAATAAAGCATCCCTAAAGAGCGACTTAGCTACGAATAATGTAGGTTCTATCCTTATTGACAGTTTCTGACCCTCGAATAGATACATTATTGAGGTATCTCACAGTAGGGACAGAATATGACATTGAGATGAACAACTTCTGAGCGTATACACTGCTGGATATTGTGAATTTAAAGTGATGGCTGCGGAGGAAGCGTCAGCCTCTGGCTCTAAGAATCATGCAGATTCTCATAATGCGTAGAGCAGGAATACTGAAAAGAAATTGCATTTCGAGCTCCCAGGGCTAAAATAATTTCTGAGCCAGGGATGCGTCAGAAGCCGAGGAAGCTGACCCGAGAGGTATTTTTTTCAATTTTCCATTGAGAATATGCAAGGGTAACCTAGGTTATTATGAGCTGAATTTGACCAGCACTTCGGTCTATCCTCTCGACACATCACTCTTGCCGGTGTGAAATTTTTAGAACACTGCTAATCAAATTGACTGCTCTCATCTTTATTTCTACCGGGCCTGAGAGATACATGAAACCTTTCTTCCCAAGCCTGAGAAGCTAACAGGTCCAGGTAAGTTTGTGCACAATAGCGGTCAATCTCCTTATGCTGCATCATCCAAGCCAATATTTGTAGACCTTGACAGCTCCACTGAGCTGTCACTACAGCTGTAGTCGCAGCCTCTCCGATGGCTTCGTACTCGGCCCACGGGCATGTTTTGAGCTCGCCATTCCGCCAGAATTTAACCCTCATCTTGTCTTCCAAGCATACTGCATTTACAAAAATGATGAACTACTTCTCTCTTTAGCTTATGAAATCCAAAATATCAATAGGACGTACCTCATTAAAGTTCTCATCGCACCGCCGGCGGTTCCAAAATCTCAGGTTTCGTAGACCCTTGCTGCAAAACATGACAACGGCAGAATACCCGAGTAGAACAGGTCGTGGCATTGATCCCGAGGTCTTGAAGATCAACGATTTGCTACAGACCAAATGGTTACCTTCCTGGGGCGTAAGCTTTATATCAGCATCGCTTCCTATAGTTGGCGACTATATTCCAACACGACATGTGATATCACTTTCTTATTGGAGCGATGGTAGTGGCCACAGAGCGCGGACCGGAAACGTTAGGCCCACAACAAATCTTCCGCCGTCGGCATGGCAGGCATGCAATTTCCCTCTCTCTTAGAGGCATTTTTTGGGTTCTTGTATCGATATGCCCTATTCAGAAATTTCCTTACCAGATTCTGCGTGATCATTTGCTATGCTAAATCTACCAGAAAATAAAAGAGAGTATTGGTGGTATGTAACTAGCCGGAAATCGAGGCCCACCGATTCAGTTCTTCATGATATCACTGCTCCTCATACTCCGCAGACCGACCTCACCATTCAATTGATGCAAAGTGGTCCCGAGATATGTGTATAAATAGAGACAGAAATTGATACCACAATTCAAACAGTTACTAACTGTATTTAGTGGGTATGTCGAATCAGATCCTATCTCCGATCGCTCTGCAGTGGAAGCTCAGGCAGAGGATACTCCATGCAAGCAGCATCCTCCTTCAGCCACGAGAAAAAGTCCAGAAGAACATCCTTGTTGCTTTGGATCATGACAAGACCTGCTATTTTCTTCTCGCTCGGGTCGTAATTTATGCAGTTTCGAATCTGCTCTTCTGTAGCCCAAACGTAGTCGAGGTGTTCGTCGTCCCTCAGCCGGATTGGTTTTTCATCCGAGCCACGAGGTCCGTCGTGTTCATCGGACCACAAACGTCGACAGTTGGTTTTCTCGCTAGTCTCTGCAATGACCAAATATTTTGCCATCAAAACATCTTTATGAGGGAATGTAACACAGTAGACCCGATTGGAAGCCGCCCAGAGCACCAATCCAGTTTCCTCGGCAGTCTCGCGTACCGTGGTTCCCAGAATGCTCCTGTCCTCCGGCAGTGCACCACCGCCAGGGCCCTCCCATGTACCAGGGAAAGAATTCATCTTCGGCTCTTCATCGTCATCTCTCCCGTTGGGAGAGCGTTGGCAAAGTAGGACGTGTGGAGAAGATGGATCATCCGGACGGAAGCTAAGTATTATGGCTCCACCACTGACCCTCTCGATGTTGTTGCTTTTGGCAAGGAGCGCGGAAAGGGAAACATCCACTTCTTCGATAGATAGGATTGTATATGACATGATGGGTGAAAGTTCTTTCGAACAAATTTTGGAAACACCCAAGCGATATATATATTCTGGAAGCGTTCGGAATAAAGTGTGATTCGACAGTGGAGGGCTTTTCGGTCTGCAAAGATGATGTTTAAAACCCTTTAGGGCCTCTGGATCAAGCGACTGATGATCACAAGGATAAAAATTTTATTTGGAGAGCAAAATGACAATACAAAAACATTAATTACGCCGCATTGCGGGGGCTGACTGGCGAACACCAGCTCCTGCAAGCATCAGCCCCTGCATCACTAGTCACTAACGATCGCCGTGCCTAGGCTTTGTGATTATGGGACTCAAGAGATCGTAGCTAGACGCCCGAAGCTAAAACTGGTCATACTCCAAGGTCTTTGGTCGAATCCACTGTCGTATAGTTAGGACCAATCACTGGATCGCCTCTTGAGTTCACTCACCTTGTTTCCATCTCATGACGAACTCCAGCCGGAAACACTCATGGAACGAGTATGCACCCTGTCGACCCCTACCCAAAGGCAATACTTTCTCCGGTACTGTTGCCTTGAGGGCAGTAAAGTAATGAGGAAGAAACAGTTGGCAATCTGGGCCCTTGTACGCGAGGCCCGTGTGGACTTCATCCTCCATTTGGTCGCAATGATAATAAAACGCTTTGGTGGTGCTGCAGAGAAGCAAACAGAGAGGACACAGATAATCCTTTTCGGCATTCCTGACAATTCTCCCCACGATCGCAAGACTCTTCTCCAGGGTGTTGAATTTGACCTCGCCCTTTTTTTCCAGGACAAACTCGATTTCGAAGAAGGTGTAGAATGGCCGACGTCCAGGTCGTCGTCCCGTTTGATTGAATTCGATTGGAAAATCACCATCTGAGATGGTTTCCCAGCCCATAGCTATCCTATAGCTATCCAAAAATAGGGGGAAATCTCCCTCTCTCTTGGACAATCCGTTGTGGACGTTGTCTTGGCCCTTCATAGTATCGAAATGCCTGTAGAGCACGTCCTGGTCGCGAAACCCCAGATCACATGCAACGCAGATGAACCCCAGTCCTGAGTTCTTTGCTACATCTTTTAAAACGCAGTACTCTCTCAGAATGTAGTACATCTTGGAGTCGTAGCAATGGCTAGCGAGGATGGGAACGAGATAGGAGTGGGTATATTCTTCTTAGGCTTTGAGAGATGCCTATCGAGCTGATTGTTTTGTACCCAGATCTAGGAGAACTAAGACGAGATCCTTTTTATGTACGAGATCGAACCCGCATGTTTACTTGTAGATATCGTGTCAAAAGCGTATAGAATCGAGCTTCGTTCGTTAGTGCCGTGCAAGAAAAATCCGATTGAGATTGTACACCTGGTCAATTATCAAATAAAATCATTCTCGAAAGCTTTTTGATTGGTTTTCTTATGAGGAATTCTACTACACAGTGGATTTCGCTCGAGCCTAGAGGCTATCGGTGAGCTTTTATTGTCTTGAAATATTATCCAGGATGGGAACGTGGCCTATTGAGATGAATGGCCAAGCAGATCTGATGCAACAGACTACCGAATATGTAGTTCAGTCATTTGGAGCTGTGGAATCTGCGAGAAAACACCGCTAAAATGCCTGAGCTGTGGATCCCTCCAAAGCAATGTTCTGGCCGGAGAAAAGATATTCAGTCTACCACTGAGTTCTGCGGGAAAAGTTTCATAGAACAGATACGCGACACCTCTTTCTCTGGACTATTTGCTTATCGGCTTATTATAGTACATCTTATGTTCCAAAATTGCATGCTCTTTTCCGGCTGGTGACTCAAAAATTGTCTCACGATTCGCTAGTTGGCTAGGCTGCTACCCTATCGAAGGACAGCCAATGGGCCGCATCTATCCTGCCACAGTGGATCGCAAATTCCCGAAGAAACTCTTGGCCATGTCCAGCATATGGAAATGGGAAATTGTTTGCCAAAAGCCAGTCCAAAGCGGAATCGGGATCCGGATGAAAGAGAAGAAAGTCTTGCGGAGGTAGGCAATTGTTGATCCAAAGCCAGTCAAAAAGAGATGTTGGTTCTAAATGATAGCAAATCATCTCAACCCAAAGAGAAGAATCTTTCTTCACCACACCAGCAAGATTTATACCTCTTTGGTTCAAACGAGAGGCTAGGCCTATGCTTGCAAATCGGCAAATGCTGCGGATTTCATCTTCCTGGAGGATTTCTTCCAATTCCTGTTGCATTTGGTCGACCTTTTCCCAACAGATACAAAACACAACCGCGTTCGTCGCCGCTAGTTGAAGAATTGGCCTCCCATCCCACGTTTCTGCCACCGATGCAGGAGCAAGAAGATGGATCGGACTCATCGTGGATATCATGTATTTTATCGTTTCAATAGCGTTTTCCTGAAAGGCAAGAAGGAAGAGACTGTGTCCAAAGCTGTTGTAGTAGCATGGCCGAATAATGCCTTGTCGGATCAGAAATTGGAAGGCTTCTGGGGACTCATATGCACAACACGAGGCAACATCTGGATGCTCTTGCTCGCTTTGCAGGCATTCCTGGCTGTCTACAACTCGATCGAAGTCGGGAAAAAGGTTCCAACGGGCGAGAGCAGACAGACGAGCCCAGTCGCTTTGTAGAAAACTGTCCAACTCAAAGCGAAGATCGGGGTCGGCCTGCTCATAGTATCCCAGGATGTGATACAGCGCTTGCTTCGATTTGAATGTGTCGGAGCAGAAAAGGCAATCAATTTGTGACAAAAGCCACCCGTAGCTGCGAATTCCATCGCCAATTTGAGGCTTTTCTTCACTGAAGAATCCGTCGGCAAACTCCATGGAGTGATATCAATTACGGAGAAAGAGGGTGATGCAGATGGATAGTTGTCTCCCCTTTCCAGAAGGCATTTCATTCAAGCTAATTATCTAGCTCATGTCTCCTGACTCAGACGCTGAGCTATGTCTTGGCTGCAGCTTTACCACCGGCAGGATGAGCGGACGAAGCTTCTCGCAAAATCGATCCAACCAATCGCTTTGATCTTCAAAAATGAATGTGACTTTGGGTGCCGTAAGTCAAGTCTGATGAGCACACAGGACTATTCACAGTCACAACCCTTTTATCGACTTGAATTTCTCCACCAAACATCTTTGCTGTCTCGGATACTCTGATTTCGTACGTTGCATGTTCATTTCGTATGTGAAGCGATTCTTGGACTTTCTGGTTTATCGTTTCCCTTTTGAAGTGAATGACCCAGTCTGATCCATTGCTCATCTAGGTATTTCAGTCAAAGGAGATCACTTAAAGGACTTTTCACACCATACCAGAAGAAGATTCAATTTTCCCAGAGCAAACTTTGCTGAAGTGGCCAGCGTAGAGCTACTCATTGTTCTGTTTGTAGATAGGTTTGGATTGTCAATCGCAGTGGCAGTGGACCGGTGGATGGAACTGTTTATTTATGAAGGAGCGCCCTATGAGATCTTCATTGTCTTTGATATATTGGAAACTAGACTTTAATTGGAAGTATACCAAGCCATAGCTTGCTTTCTGACTAGGTGGCGAAGAAAATAAGGGGTCTAAGCAATCCACCGTTGCAAATGAGGAAAGTCTCAGGTACAGAAAAATCTTTGGTACCACCACTCATTCCAAGTTATCAGAGAGTCGCCCCAAATTTTGAGCAAAGCAGTCGGCATCCACTGTCCGCGTCTGTAGGATCTCGTTGGTCAACTCAGATCCATCCTTCCCCAGGAATATGCCAAGAATAGAGGGACACAATTCCGCTGGCGGTATGAATCCATTCACAAGAAGTTGTACAACGGCTATGACACATTCCGTATCTTGGTCCTGCTCGCTCTCGCTCATGAGCCTGTTAACAAGGCTAGGAGGTGCATATTTTATGCACCCGTCGAGTACCTCGCTTAGGTTTTCTTTCGAAATCTCTCTGTTCGAAATTGCGGCAATGTACTGGGCAACATCCATAAATTTTATCTGAATACGTGGAGGATGCAATTTGGTGACCCTATGTTTGGTGACTTATTGAAAGTTGAGGTTAGCACAACGACTTTTATGACGGAGATATTTCATACACCACGCATTTATTATTGGTATCAAGGAGTCATCTGGAGACAAGTAATGGCGATATTCGGGAGCCATTTGAATATGAAAAGAAGTAGCAGATTCTACGTTCAGATGATAGACAAGAGGTTTTTATATCTAGTCCGATATGGGCAGGTAGAACACTTGTTGAAATGGCTTAGAATTGTTTTGGTGATACACCAGGCTGCGTCAATTTACACTCGCAATCAATCAGTATCTGGAGCTCGGATCTGTCACAAACAGTACATCACATAGAATCATCCCATCCTCTAATGCTTTTCAAACTTGGAATATAGAAAAAAAGTCCAGCTCAAACTCTCTCGTGTTGCGTAGGGGTAAATGATCAAGTAGAATTTTGGGGTCTGGCATAATTTACATCCTATTGTGAGGTAGATGGAGCGCAGCGCATGCTCTTTGGCAACAAAGAGATTCGCCAAATCCGGATTAGCGGGGTGTATTATATTTGTTCGCTCAATTTCATTGGACCGCCTTGGCCCGAGATGCCGCCATGCTCCACTTTGCCCCTGGAACGGTTATTCAGGGCAAAAACCTGCCATGGCAATTCTTGTTTTGGCAGACAAATAAATCAAGAAATTGACGGCAGGTATGTTGCAAGCACCGTCGTTATGACCTGAATATTATATCGGTATCTCTTGCTCAGTGGATTATGCCGGAAGCAACCGCAATTAATCTTCGCGTCTTATATGTATACAGATCGCCAAAAATTACTAATATAAGTTTAAACCAAAAGATGATACATCGGTGCAGATAGCAAATTTCCACGCAACGATGTAGCGATGCACTGGGTCCTGCTTTTCACGCCAGTCCAGACTAGGCCTGATCATGGAAAGGAGTTCAGCAAGGTCATTGTCTCAGCACGAACCGCTTGCGCTAAAGGTATCATTGAATGGCATCTACTCTCCTTGAACACTAAATGTCTTGGCATACATTAGGACCACTTGCGTTTTCACGCTTCACACGAATCACATCATCTTACCAGCGAATCAAATGTCTCAAGGAGCCTACATCGTCAAGGACAGGGGGCCTAACGAGATACTCTATTGGCTCCAAAAGTACTGATTCGTGGCCATGTGCTGCGCTACATGCACAATGGTCACGGCTAGTTCCAATCATCTGCCAGTTGCAGCCGCTATTTTTCCAAAAGATCTTTTTGCCTCCTGGATTACGTTGAAGCCGCTTGGCGCCACGTGATCTACACCCTTTTACTTCTTCCCCAAAATCATGACGAGGTCTCATCCGTGACGTCTCGTGTCGTTGCCATCATGGATTTATCTCATAGCAAAATAATAATTGATACTTTATCTGCAGCCCACGACAATGCTGGAGAAAGCGAGAAAATCAATGTCGATGCGTTGCTTTCCAAACCAGAGGTATTTTTATCCCACCTCGTCGCTGCATAACTAAGATAAATCAGTTTGTACGCTCCCTTCGAGAACTCTGGGCACATATTCCCGAAAAAACCAGGAGAAGCATCGGTCGAAGGCCTCTCCAAAAACGTCACCCGAAAAATAATTCGACAAAGAATCATTATTTTCGGTCAGACCCCTCGCAGATCTTGCTAGCATACTTACCTCAGTGGATGCAAAATCCGTCCATGATTTTCCAAGAAGATGGCAATGTGCTAGAACTCACTATTTCGCCCATGGCCCAAGCATACCGATATCTGGAGCAACTAGAATGCCGCGGGGCTATTGACACTGTTCGTGCACGCTTCCTCAAAGTCGTATTTTACCGACTCAAAGAGCGACTGGGCCTACAATATATGCGGTCCAATAATGTTGTTGATATGGCAACAATAATATCAAATTCCGGCTTGATTAGTTGTGACATTGATATCATCAAATCCAAGATCATTCGATGGACAGATCTGGGTCGAAGGATTGATTTACTCTGTCGAAGTATTGGGGCCTCTAACACCCATGAAGAGTCGCACCTGGGGAACCTTTTTTGTCTACCTGAGCGTTGCAATGATGAGTTGTTCGTCAAAAAAGCAAGTTTGCAAGCCTAAATCACTGACCAGCCAATAGCATAAGAGTCTTAAATCTCTCAGGGTCGGATAGAGATAAGATAATCCAACAGATCCAAGATGGTGGGATTCTAGACTTGGATAACAGGGGGGGATTTTGAGATATTAGCGGCCGATCTGTTTTTTCTTTTGTGGACTGCAGTCACAGAATCGATTCAGGGCATCATATCCCGATCCCCTGACTCTATTATAGGTGAGTACACCGGCCTCAATATCTGCGGGAACTCTACCAATCAAACCAAAAGGGCAAACTCTTCAACACACACAATGTTTCCGTGTAGTGCAACAACCGCCAAAAGAAATGCAGCACCAAAACCCGTCTACACCTCATCAAAACACAGCTCATGGTTCTGGAATGTCCATCCATGTTTCGCCAGTGGCCTCTCCACCAGCACTGTCGCTTCAAAACCACCGGGATCATAACATCTCGATCCAACTCAATGATAGAATTGATCATCATCCTCAACAAAATTCGACTGAGATTGTGAACATCGTTGATGTACACGACATGATACAGCCAATACTACAAATACAAGCACAAGTCTGTGAACCGCCCAATGATCTGTCCCAGGTGAAAGACACTCAAATGGCCGACGTTCATGACATACCACAGCCTGTATTGCCTCAGGTCTTTGGATCACTCGGACATCAGTCTCAAATCGATATAGCCAACATGCTCGATATTCATGACATGATCCAGCCAATATTGCCGACCCAGGGCTTCGCTTCTCTCGAGGATAGCAGCATGGTGGATATACACGACATGCTTCAACCCATCCTGCCGACGCAGGCTTGCGAGCCATTCAACGGGCAGTCCCAAACTAGGACTTCCAACATGGCAAGGTTCGACGATATTGGTCAACCAATGTTTCCGGCAGAAAATGTTACCTCTTCAAATATGCAACTACAGAATATGTTTCCATCAATACCACCTGTGGATAGACAGGCGTCGATGATACATGATCATCAGGATATGCCAATGGTAACACAGAGGCAAGATATATTTACTCATAATAGCTTGTATCTACAGCCTGTTTCAGCAGCGTAGGAATCCATTTGATTTGATCCCACCTCTAGGATCGTAAGAGCAACGTTGTTATTACATGATATCATTTGGGTACAAAAAATATTGCTGCTGTGTGCGGACCAACTTCTGGATCCGTAGTAGTTTCAACATAAAAACCTTCTTGGAGACTCCCGTCGCGTAATACACCCTCAGAAAGCGGAATGAGGAATCCTCTTTTTCGCGCGTTCCCAACTGTTGTAGGCACTGCGAAATAAAGTAAACGCCAGCCCCAGTTCTACTCGAAAATTAGTTTCACCTGGACATATTGAAAGTGATTTCACATACGTCTGGATCAGGGATAGGGAGTTGTCTCGATATGAGAGATATCTGCTCCGCGAGTAAATCTCCCCCATATGTCTTGTTCCCATTTTTCTCCGTTTTCAAACTTTCTGCACAATTCTCGGGATTTTGCTGCGATAATTCAGGGATCATTGTTTTGATTTTGAGGCGAATATTTTCGGCGACGGGCTTGAGTTTGATCGGGTTCATGTTGTCAGAGGTTCAAGATCAGCGGGATAGTCACTATTAAGAGGCAATGGCAGCCTAATGAGTTAGCCAGAGTAATAACGGACTATTTCTGAAATTAGAAACTCACACGCCTTTTTCATGCGATAAAAGGGACATGAGTCGTGAAGTTCCATCCAACTCGTTGACAACGCCGATGACAACGGGACGAGACGAGAGTGGCAGTGATGAGGGGTAGCGAGGCGAGAAAGTTCCACCTTCCGTTGGGCATTAAATCACGTGATTCTGCATCCATCTCCGTCATAGTGGGTATCTATATTCTTCACGGAGGCAAAAGTTGATAAAAAGTGCGAAACGATGATTTCTACATATTAAATTCGATATGATAGTACATACTCCGGTCGTTATTCTGTATGACTTCCTCTCGGCTCGAGCTTCGTCGCCTGCTCTTTGGCGATATTCTGTACCTGAGGTAGTGTCGCTAAATCTCGGCTGAATATCCGATAAATATATCCCTAGAGCAAAATTATTACGTACACCATCGGCGGTAAAATCGGCAAGAACCATTAGGGTACCAGCGATAAACATATTTCAGATATCATTTTGTCGCGATCTGATCAAATGAAAGACACTTTTGAAACTCGAAACGCTGATCTTGCCAGATATATGGCCCGGGAGAACGGCAGGTATGATTATTTGAAAAGTAGTGGGTATAGTGAAGCAAAATCCGCGCGAGCGACCCTTCTCCTGCGTAGCCTAAGTGGAATTTCACATTGGCTTTCAGTAACGGCGCGGGTTCGATTTACGCAGGGTACATCAAATGAATTTGAATTAGAACCTGCCCATGCGGTCCGCCCCAACTCGAAGCCCGCTTTCTGTTTTCCGCATTGTTGTGATATGAGTCTGGTGCAGATCAGGAACCAAGCCGAACCATCGGAATTAATCCCGAGATATCTATTCGAAGGATCAAGTTGATTTCCAATCAACTTGTCCTTCTCATTGTATATATATAGCTAAATGTTCCCCTCTGGACAATAACACAATTCATACCTCTGAACTACAACACGAATCATCTCCCGAGTCTGCGGATTCATTTTTACCTTCTGTCTATCTTAACTGAATGGCGAAGCCACTTTTATGGACTCTATTGACCGTCAGCATATATTCATAACCTTGATAAATTATGAAAAAAAAATATACCTTCTCGCCAAATTCAGCAACCGGTGGTAGTGAAACTGATGGTCATCGAGGACCTGCCGCACCAGACGCATGCTACGGGGGGGGCCCAAGGTTGGGTGCACTTGCGCGTCGCGTAAAACACACCTGCCACGCCCACACCGAGAGAAACATCAGCAGCTGCGTTCGATGTCAGTGAGTTCATCCTCTTCATCATATATCACAAACTGCATCTTAAAAATAACAATTGGGCGATTGGGACCGTCTCGGCAATTGACTGACCGGACTAGTGAGGCTACTTCTGTCGGCGGGTGCGTGCGACTCGGAGGTGAAAGCGAGGAGGCAATCGGTCAGCGTGCGGCTGCATTGAACATAGCATTAGCCTCTAGCGACTTAACTATGGTTAGTCAACTTCCGAATTATTGTGATGAGAATGTACTTACCAGGATCAATCATGAATACGCCATGGTAGCAGCTTTAAATGACCGTCTGCATCAGATCACAGGCAAGGAAAGTGCCACTGGATATACCCAATCTAGCACCAATTATCAGCAACTGGTGCAAGATGGTCATTCGCAACTTACCTTGTTCGCGGCCCAGATGAGGTCCCCCTGAACCAGCTATAATGCACTTTCTTGATCGCACTCACCCGAACGGCTGAATTAGGGTTGTATTTCACGGACTATCTATGTTAACACGATTTCTGATGACCGACGGTGGGATAGACTTACCGTGAGCAGCCTGGAATTAGCATAGAAAAACCAGGAACTAGACAGCGCGCTCAGCCCGACCACACGTGAAGGGCCTGGGATCACATCGTTTCACGGGGAATGGGTGTAGCCATACCTGCTAATGCATACATCTGGGAAAACTTTCAACTGCGCTAGGGCAAGGTACCCCTGGAAAAGAGATTTATGGTATTTATGGTATTTGCAAAAACCTCGACCTGACCTGAAAATGACTGCTCTCGCGGCGAGGGATCTATGATAAACCTAAGCCACAGCCTGTGTTATCGCTTGCTCAGCTGAAATCATCGGCTTGAAAGAACTTGCCTTTAGACTATCGCCAATAGCTCGTTTCAATTTGCTGATTGATGCCGCTCGAGAAATATTTGTATTTTCTGTGGTCGTCGATTCTCGGCTTCTCTTCGTTGTGGCGGATGCTCCAATGGCTCGCTCGGTCCACAGTGAGGCCGGCTCATGGCCACCGACAAGCCTTCAGATCGGACGGGGGCAGGAGGTTCATAGCCGTCGAAATATCTCAAGTCACTAACACATTGACCGCCAAACTTTGTCCGGACAGGGTAGTGTAGCAGAGACGAATGAAAATACGTTGGATTTCTACCGCATGGCTAAGCAGAGGGCACCGAACCTTTCTGAATTGGGCCCGCTAATAAGTCAGGTGAAGTGGGCGTGTCAACCAAGTCTTCAGAGACAGAAAAAGCGCAAGCGTAGTGAGATTCAGTGGCTTGGCCCATCAGGCTGGTGCAGTTGGTGTAGTTCCGAGGACTAGGGGGGATAGCTCGGTTAGGTCGAGGGTAATATTGAAGCTCGCCCTATGGAGTAAAGAAAATCATCAGCCATATTTTCCGAGGAACAGAGCGCCACGAGCGGATGGCGTCCATCTGGGATTGAAAATGCATTACCGGTTGCTGGGAGTTGGTAGAAATAACGGGCCAGGATGACTTGCGAGATATTGAGTAACTGGCGATAGAAAGTTCGCTATCCTATAAAAGCGCCGTCAGCACATGACATCTGCTCTTAATTTCGCCGCACATCTTTAACTTACAATGTCAGTTCTTACTGTCCACTGCATTCTGGCAAGGACAAGGGGATTGCATAAATGACGACTTCTATCTATCATCGATCATCAGTAGGCAGCTTAGGAAGGCAAATTGTAGTTCACTGGGCTCACAGCCTAGACCATTTGGGATCCTGAACGGTTCGCTCAGTGGATTCTCAGTGGAACAGCGGAGGCGGTGCTAACATTGAGCATCTTTCGCGTTAGCATGATTCCAAATGACTGGGTAATTGCACTCACTGTTCGAAGACTTGACTATTGAGAAATTTCAGGCTATTGCGATGTAAGAGGTCAGCCCATCCCAGTCCATGATTTGGTGGTCAATCCATACCAAAGAGTAGCCGCGGAGATGAATCAAGCTCGACATGCTTTCATCCTGAATCAAAAGAATGCTTGCGAACGACTGTTTAGCTGGCGAAGGACCGGGTATTTATAGCTATTCAGCCGGGCATTTAGTCTGCCTTAATGAGATCATCATTGCGAATTGTAAGGGATTTAACGCAAAATACCGTTCGATGATAACTGGCTCAACATTTCAACATTGGTTTAATGCAGTTCTCAGAGAGATTAAAACTTTCGCCTGGTGATCTCGAACATGAAACTCATTTTCTGGCCGTTGGCATCATGCAAACAGTTGTGAGGATTCCGCAGAAAAGAAACGACGACAGATATCAACATTCACCACCGTCAGTCCGCCCTTCATCGCGACCGGTGAGGCGAGGAGGCCATGCCATCTCATCTCAACGGTGATGAGCCTGTCACTCCACGCAACGGAGACCTCATCAAAGATAGGCAAAGGCCCTAGACATCAATCAGCCAAACCGCGGGGTTCGGCATTGCCTACCTGACAAATCGGCGTAAATGCGTCACACCTACACGATAACAAATGGATCTAAGTTATTGTACGGCACGGGACTGATCCGCATAGCCCCATTTCACGACACAGTCATTTGTATACAGTGTGCCATTTACATATTAGGTCAATTCAGTCTTTACAGAAAAAACCCCTGCGATCAGCCGAGTCTTTGCCAAGACATTACCCATATCAACTCCTGGGAACGAAGTGTGCTCGGGAGGTACCAGTAGTTAGAAATATAAGCGAAATATAAGCCGATTACTGTAAAGCCATCGATGGTCCACATTCTCACACGTCGTCTTTGACAGGAGTGGCTAATATTTGACCTCGGCTCCCAGGAGGCTGTGGGTCGTGCATATCAGTGTGATCATTGGATACTCGTAATAGAACCATCGCTAATGAGGAATGATCAGCCAATCGGTGCCATGGAAGATTCTCATCTGCCATAAAGCCTCAGGAGAAATGATTGGTCCAAATTGGGCTATGAGCTGCCAGGAACCTGGGGCTACCATCACATCTACCATCACACCTACCATAGCCCGTCAGCAATACTCACATCAAACTCCCGTAACTTGAATGGATATGTGAAACTGGGTACCGCTGCAAAGAGGTCTAAGCCAATCAGAGCCATGAATGCCCGCAGACGCCTAAGGCTGGAAGCCTGTGATCGTCGATATACATGCTTTTGTTGGATGCTATCATATTCCAAGAATTAATAGGACACTCGAAACCATGAATGACTCGAATGCATCAACATATTTAGTCTGTCACGCGGATAAGACTACCCGGATGAGCAATTTGACCCAATGGAATAGATTTCTGTTGTTTAGAGGTATGAATCATGTTATAATTTCTTGTTCTTGAGGAAATATGAGGCTGTATAGAAAATATAGAGCTTAGTTGATATTAGATCAACTTGATTGTCTATATAGACATCTCGGAGCTAATTTCGATGCCGCGGCTTGCTCCCTGATCTGTAGATCCTCATCCCACGATGTATTCCCTTGTCGCCCCGCCTGATCGTAATGTATCAATCTGCTTCTCTTACCCTGAATATTGTTGATTGACGGATGGCTTCAGCACAAAAGCTGTAGAATTATTGCTATTCGCGAATGCGAAAATGTGATCGTCTGAACTTATATCCATCCTTGTTGCCAAGCCCAGGACAGGAAATGGAGCTAAGCAGGTAGGATCACAGCCTTCCACAGATTGTCTTTAACTAGGCCCCTTGATGTTCTTTTACTTTCAAGTTGGAAGACTCTGGTAAATGAGCGAGACCAGAGAGGCCGCTCGGTACTGTGGCATGCAGCAAACACTGGTAACAAAAGATTGATCTGTCAACTGGCACAGCTGCCAGATCTGGAGCCCGAGATTCCCGAAAATTATGGTGTATCTCCTCTGGGCCAAGCTAAAAAAAAGAGGAGCGTCGAGATAGTTGCACTTCTGCAAAATATTGCTGTATATGCCGGTTATAGTGGGTCGTCCAAGCACGACATCGAATAGTCTGGCAATCGCAAACATCAAATGATACGTTAAAAAGCTGGGTCATTGAAGCCAGCATTAAGTTAACAAGCTTTCGGGATTTTTTGTTAGAGATTTTTACTTTGGAAGGCTTTGCAAAGGCGTGTCTTAGTATGGAGCAGACGCAGGGGCAAAGCTGCACAATCAACGATAAACTCCCGACAGGTCAATATGGAGCGGCAAGTTGATCAGGATGAACCAATTCCCTCGATGACCACTTAGCATAGATGATTACCCCCACTATTCAAAAACAATGAAGTTTCAGCTGAACTTGATTCATTCGCCACGGATGTGCTATGCCACACTCATAGCTGAGCGCAGACTGCGACCGGTGGAAATGCTGACATACCCTCAGAGTCATTGCTGGATGCCTCTCGGCAAGTTATCGAGTCTTCTATTTGGCTCGACTGTACCAAAGCGCCGTCTACATAACTACTTTGAAAGATCCAAGACTTGAGAACGGATTGGGAGTGATCCAGATCATATGGGCTCAGAGTCCTTTACAACCACTTATACATAGTCAGTTCCAAAGCGGGAATTTTCTCTGTCCATAGATGGCTTACAGTATTCATTTTTTAGATATGCTAGTTGGAACATAAACCGAAACAAATGTATTACATTGTGTATGAATCCTAATCCTGCTGAGCAAGTCTGAGCGTCTGCTGCTACCCAAATCTTCGTCCCCAAAATACCTAAAGCCGCAGGTAACAGGTCCCCTCTCCTATCCCAGCCAAGTCAAACAATGTGCTCTCGGCTGATCCGATCACCAGCGGCGTCATAGTAATCGACGGTACAGTGCCGCCGTCTGTCACTTCTGCTAGTGTGCCAGCCGTTCCTAGAAACATTTGTCAGCGGCTTGGTTGCAATGAAGGGTGCGACCAACATACACGACTGTGGCACTCGTAGACCCGACAGGTGCTTGGGCAATGACCAAGTTTATGATACCCCTCTTCTCCGCGGGATTGTTCGAGTACATATTGAGTGGGTCGAAAGTAACACTGCTGGCATCCATGATAAACCAACTCTTGCCCTTTCTTTAAGAAACCAAGACAGAAATTGAGCTTAGCGAAAAGACGATTGTCGGCACAGGCAGGTGGGCAGGCGGAGTCTGAAAAATGCGGTTACGTATGTTCGGAAACTCAGCCATGGTGAACCAAGTCAATTTATATTTCTTGCTCACATCAGAGCCTAGTTGCACACCGGCTGTCTAGTCGTTCATCTCGATATCCCATTAAATGTCTTTGTGTTTGTGATTGAGGTGCATAAGCGCTGGAATCATGGTTTCTGTTGAAACTAGATGTGGCTAGCCATGACTTACTGCTCCACTTAACATGCTTCCTCCTGTAAGTGCATTATCGAATGACCACTTAGGCTTATTCCAAGGGCAGGGCGTTTAGTGTAACGCGCTAGCTATGCTATCCGCCTGTACTCTGTCGTTATTGGTTGCTATTGGTCCACTTTGCGGCTTGACTGGGAGCAATTGCAGCCAATAAAAACAGCTCAAAATTCTTAGTCATATCACACTAGTTATGAATAAAAATAGTACGCGCCATGACGCGTGTTCCGGAACAAGCGCCAAGACTTGTTCATGTCGAGGGACCATAAATGTACCCCAGAGGCCTTGCCCTCCGCTCTTTGGGAACGTCTTTCCAGTTTCTCTCGAAGCTTTGGACTTCCCCATCACCGTGCTTCATCTTTTACAAAACAGACCGCTCGGTATCTTTTGAACGACGCGGCTCTATCGCAGCCATGAGTACCTCGCCTCCTCCCACACCTGCATCGGGGGGCCTTAAAAGATAGCCAGCAGAGATTCAAAACTATTACATTACCCTGTGAGTGGGTGGAGGATTACCGTCCAGGTGGCTATCATCCAGTCGTTCTTGGCGACGTCTTCGATCATAAGTACAAGGTCATCCGGAAGCTTGGCGAGGGCTCCTACTCAACGGTTTGGCTCGCCCGTGACCTGAAGTAAGTTCATCTTTCGCATTACTGCCTGCGAGTCTATATATTATTATTACTCATTCCCTTCAAGAAACAGTAGATATGTCGCTCTCAAGATCCTTGTGTCCGAAGTCTCGAGATCGACAACCGAGCCACGGATCTTACGCCACATCATCGAAGTCGCACCAGCAGAAGGGACCAGATATGTCACGCGACTGATAGGCGAGTTCGAACACCGCGGGCCCAATGGTATCCACAAGTGCCTAGTGTTTGAGCCCATGGGTCCGAGTGTGAATACGATGGCTGAGGAGCTACCGCAGTTCAAACCTCGCAGGCGAGAAATGAGAATACGCTATCCGCTTTGGATGGCAAAGAGTATCCTCAAGCAATCCTTGCAAGCTCTTGCATTTCTCCACGAGAATGGTATTGCCCATGGAGACTTTCAGCCGGGAAACATACTCTTCACTCTGAATGACATCAACTTGTTTCCTGAGAACTTGCTCCAGCAAGAGGAAAATGTGCAAGCCCGGTCGATTTCGCCCCCGGTACAGAGGCTAGACGGTAAACAAGATAAATGGGCTCCTCCATATCTTTGCGTTGCGCAGCCATTGGTGCCATTAACCTGCTACACCGAAGGGTTCAAGGTTAAATTATCCGATATGGGCGGAGGTCAGTCGCTCCCGTTTCGATTGTCTGTTTCTTTTCTTGACCAATATAAATACTCATACCTGACTGCCTTGGATAGCATATTTTCTTACCGACCCGCCAACAAAGCCTATTATTCCACTCGGTCTTCGAGCTCCCGAGTTGATTCTTACTGGAGCAGTCGACAACACTCTCGATATATGGAGTTTCGGTTGCCTCGTCTTTGAACTTATCACTGGACAGCCGCTTTTTTGTATACCTTGCTCGGAGATGGAAGATGACGATCATCTTCTATCTCTCACCGCCCAGCTCGGTGCTCTCCCCGTCGAGCTCTTCAAGCATTGGACGACCTCATCGCTCTACTTTACGCCCGAGAGGAAGCTCTTTAATTGTCAGCTTGGAGGAGTCTCTCCAGGAGAGGAACCGCTTATGGTGGAGCAGACCTCCATGGAAGAGTCCTTCGATCGGGCAGGTCCAGGTCTTGGTGAGGAGGAAGCCCAGAAAGTGAAGGCGCTCATCCGATGGATTTTACAATATGATCCCGCGAAGAGACCTTCGCCTACAGAAATCTTATCTGACCCATGGTTCTGCGCGATTGACGTTGAGAGCGACTCGTCCAAAGCATCTCTAGTTTAGTATCTTGCGTCGTCGTCGCCATCCTCTAGACATTGGCACCCTGCTTATGATTGTGGTGTTGTATTTTTAATTTTTAAGTTCGGAGCAATATCCACGTTAAATCAGAATCACCTCAATACCAAACGTCCTGAGCCCATGGCTCTATTATATCAAACCCGTTGTCTTCTTGCAATATCGGCTTCTCATGTGTGTATTAGTCAAGATCCAGTGTTGCGTGCCGATTTTCCCCCAGTCACTGTATCAAGACTCTAGTAGCCCCACTGACATCAGACTAAGCTTATTGGATGCCACAATCCATGAGTTCAACTGAAAATACGGCATAATCTACCCTGGAATATCGATCGGCGTTTATCCACTTTCACCGAGAGTTTGTTCGGCTCTGGACCTCGTCAGACAGTCCTAAGCAGTGCTAGAAGCTAGCATTCCTTCGTTCTGATTAGTAGGCTTCGGATTTTTCAAGCAATTCGACATATTTCACGTCGTACTCATCTGAATATTACCCTATGCAACACCCTCAATCAATGGATCGTGCCAAGACCATTTTGAATCCTATTTAGTCCACCCTAGGGTATGCACAGTAGCCTATTGGTCCATCCGAGCAAGCTAATACCAGAGTGTACACCGCAATATGTTAAAATTCAATGCGAAAATTGACCTGCCGGTCCATTGTGCTTTCTGAGAAAGTCACTGTGAGGTCTGGGCCCTTGTGGACTAACTTGGAATTCCATATGCAGGGAATTCATACTTGGTTGCTGAAGAAACCGCCCGGGTTGCGCCCTCATTTCAACTTCCTCGGCCTGTTAAATGTCGGCGACGCTTCCATGGTAATTTGAGATCTTTCGTCACGCTATGTTGGTCCTTAATGATCTGGTTCAAGGAGCGTCTCGTAACAGGCTCTTTATTGACAAATATTGCTAGTTGGATCTACAAGATATATTGATCTTTGAACGTGGTGCTTTAATCGAGAACAATGAAGGCAGATATGGAGGGGGAACTGGGCAGTAAATCCCACCACCACAAATGCTTGTAGATGAAGGGGCCTGATAAAAGACATTCCGTGGAGAGCTGCGATCCTACAATGCCAGCCCGCTTAGCTCCATTTCCTGTCTTTAGCTTGATACCGGGGATGTTTATAACTTCAGATGATTACTATGTCATAGTCGAGAACAGCAGTAAATATATAGCTCTTGTACTGAACCATTTGCCAATTGACAAAATTCCTAGAAGCGTAAGAGAAGAATATTGGTACGTTACGATCAGATGGGGGAACAAGTGAATATATTTGGGATGAGGATGTACAGATCAGGAAGCAAACCGCGGCATCGAAATCAGCTCCGAGATGTCTATACAGACAATCAAGTTGATTTACAATCAACTGGGATCCAGATCACAGGCTTCCGGCCTTGGGCGTCTATCGGCGCTCATGGCTCTGATTGGCTAATAACTCTTTGCAGCGGTACTCAATTTCACATATCCAATTAGTTCCCGGGAATTCGATGTGGGTATTTCTGACGGGCTATCCAATTATGGTAAGTGTAATGGTGGGCTCGGGCTCCCGGGAGCTCTTAGCCAAATTTGGACCTATCATTTCCTCGCTAGCTTTATGGCACATATGGTTTATTCATGGCACCGATTGGTTCATTATTCCTACGCTCTATTGGTGGTATCCAGTGATCGCATCAATATTTATGACCCACAGTCTCCTGGGAGCCCATGGCCAAATATCAAGCAATCATTTCATTGCAGACTTGTGCACATGTGGACCTTTCGTGGCACTAATTGGCTTATATTTCTGAGTAGTACTACCCACCCGCATCTGTTCCCAGGAGGTTGATGTGGGTAATGCGTTTGCAAAGACGCGGCTGACCGCAGAGGGTTGTTCTTCAAAAAAGTAATCGAACTAATGACTGGCTCGCTGTACAAGAAACCCTGTTATGAGATAGGGTTGTGCAGATCAGTCCCGTGCCGTCCCATAGCTTGAATCTACTTGCTATTGTGCAGGTGTGATGTATTTTCTGCGATATGCGAGGTGGGCAACGAAGAATCCTGCGGTCTGCCTGCCTTTGGTGAGTTGCTGTTGCGTGGACTGACGCGCTCATCGCTGGTGAATGAAATGAAATGACATGACCTCGTCGCCTCGCCTGTCGCAATAAAGGGCGAACTCATGGTGGTGAATGTTGATAATCGTCATCGGTTATTGTCTGCGTTCTCCTTGCACGATGCGAAGAGCCAGAAAATGATTTTCACCGGGCGCAAAATGCAATGCCTGTGAGAGCTGCATTGAACCAGCGATGAAATATTGAGCCATTTATCATTGAAGGGTAGTTCTTGTTTTTATTTGGACCCTCACAGTTCAAAATGATGATCCCATTGACGCAGACCGAATGCCTTGCTGAATTGCTATAAATACGCGGTTCGTCACCAGCAGAACCGTCGTTCGCAAGCATTCTTTTGTGATTCTCGGTGAAAGAATATCGGATGTAATTCGTCTCCGCGGCTACTCTTTGGTATCGATTGGCATCCAAATCATGCAATGAGTTGAACTAATCCGTTGTATCTCAGTAGCTTAACCTTCCTCAATAATTAGATCTTCGAACAGCCAGTGTAGCTGTCCAGTCATTTAGAATCACGCTAGCTCGGAAGATACTCAATAGCCCGCCTCCGCTATTCTTCGGAGAACCCATTGAATGAACCTTTAAAGATCCTGAATGGTCCAAACTGCGGGCATGGTGAGTTACAAGTTGCCTTCTTAAACTACTTACTAACGGTTGATGATTAATAGATGTCATCCTTCATACAGTTCCCTGCGGCGGACAGCAATAACTTACAACGTAAGTTTAAAGACTGCAGCAATTTTCAAGGCAGATATCATGTGCCGATGACCCTCTATATAGAATAGCAAACTTTCTATCGCGAGGCGCTCAAGGTCTTTTAGGTCCAGCTAGTGCTTTGCCCCTGCCAATTCCCAACAGCCGGTACTACATTTCAATCTCCGTACGAATGCTATCTATTCGTGGCTCTCTGTTCTTCAGAGAATATCGCTGATAATTCTTTTTCCTCATAATGCGCGTCAATATTACCCTCGACCTGACAGAGCTATGTTCCCCCCACGTCCTCGAGACTAAACCAGGTGCAACAACCTGATGGGCCAAGCCACTGCATATTACTACGCTTGCACCTTTGTTATTGCTGAAGACGTGGTTGAAATGGCCACTTCACCTGGCGCATTTAGCGAGCCCAATTCAGAGAGGCTTGATGCCCTTTGCTTAGCCATACGATAACGTTTCAAAAAGTTTCTTCTCTTCAGCATTACCCTTTCCAATCGAAGGTTAAGTGTCACTTTATTAAGAGCTTGCCATATTCCGACGGCTGTGAATCTCTTTCCCACCTCCGATCCGAAGCCTCGTCGGCAGCCATGGCCCGGTCCCATACTAGATTCAGTGAGCCATTGCAGCATTCGCTGACATCGAAGAGAAGTCTAGCATCGATTACCACCGAGAAAGGCCATAGTCTCTAGGGGAACAACATCAACTAGCAATGAATCGAGTTTAGGCCACGGGCTGTAGGCCAGCTCTGCCAAGCAGGTCGCAGCACTAGAATTATCCCAGGTTTCTCCCCATGAGAACGGTCGCTTTCAGGTGAGCTACTACTTCACCCCAGACCAAATACCATAAGCCTCTCCTTCAGTGGAACTTTGTCCTGACACGTTTGAAGATTTATCTCTCACAAGAAAAGCAAAGACGAAACAGCTATGCATTGGCAGATAGTGCCAACAATCATTTGCAGCGATACGAAATGATCCTTGGCCCTCGTCTACATGTAATCGAGTTGAGCCCGCTGCATCTCTGGTTGGATTTCGCTGATCCCAAGCTACATTAACGGCAAGTACCGCCCTCAGTCACAAGAAGACTTGCTCACATGGAAAAGCAGTGAAACGCAGCACGGCTTCTCGGCCGTTCCTACAAGTCCGATCGAGATAGTGTATTGCGGCTAGTATTGGGATTCTCTCTAGGCCGCGAGCACGGTCAGTGGCGAACACCCACCCATCTTGCTCCAGTCGCTGATAATTGGTGCTAGATCTAGTATATCCAACGGGCAATCTATTTGCCTGTGTCCAATGCAGATGGCGATTCAAAGCTTCCCCCATGGCCTATATCTTGAATGAGGGAAAGAGTTCGTTCTCAAGGATGGAGGTTGGGGATAACTGACCTTTCTGTCAAACCGCTGATGTGAAGACAATTTTTCCCTCCCAAGCCTGGCCAAAGCCAATCGAATGCTCTCCCCATGATGGCATCCCCGAACGGAACGAATTCACCAGCGGAAGAGCGTCGTGAATTACGGTCGTTCGACTGCCGCAGCGGTTGCAACTGCTCAATTATTACTCGAAGGGTGCTATGTCGGTGGTAACTAGTAATAAGGTCGTACTTATTGACCCCGGATGTAGTTGACGGAGCTGTGATGTTCTGCCATTGTGGGCCTGTCACTTGTGCCCGACGCGAGACGCTGCGACGCGTCAGGGCTCAGCCTTGTCGCCACCGCCAGGTGCTGCCTGAGGTCGGTCTTCCAGAAAGCGTTTCATATCACGAGTCCCAAGAGAAAAGAACGTACGCGAGACGAATCGTAAAAACAAGCGGGTTGTGACCACGATGATGGAAATGCATGAGCGAGAACCGTCTTTCTGATGAATGGTCATCCAGATGCGCCCTGCGGGAATCGAACCCGGTTTGTTAAGGAAGCAAACGTGGCATATTCGACTAGACCACGGGAGCAGATGCACTGAACGCGCGAAATCTGCCTCACTATATCCGGCATCTTCTAAGAATATCATAGCCATCGTGCTGTTCCTTGTTTACAAATTAGTAAGTATCTCGGATAAGCCGTCTAATATTTCCTCAACTCTTCTGAAGTCAATTAGATTCACGCGGGAAAATTCAAATATCTAATTGATTATGACCTAGGCTCATGATTTAGTATCAATTGGTGAAAGCCGCTGACCCTCCAAAAGGGCCTGAAATAGCATTATTTCTGACGCGCACAATGCAAATATCTTTGACACCATTAAGGATACCAGCACACTTCATTCCCGAGGGAACCTGTATTTTTACTTCATAGTCCATGGTACTGGAGGTTGAAAACCCTTCAACTCCCGGAATGTTTTGAATGACTTTAGCAGATTTGAATGCCCGAGGGTCGGTACCCACACTCGTTGCATCGATCTCTGCCGATAATGGGCCCGCTCCATCTTGGTTTACCTAGATGGCGAAGTAGTTAGCAATACTGATAAGAGTAGCGTCATTCTGGGTGACGAGCCTGATGATAAATCATTGTGATGACACCGTCGTTCGAAGCAGAGGGCAATCCTTTGTTTAACCCTTTACCAGTAGATCCTTTGAATCCATTCTCCACGGTACCGCTAGGTGTAGTTGCGCCGGGCTTATTCCCTGGTAAAGCCCCGGCAACGTCGTCAACAGCTGACTGCGCCCCTGTATATCTCTATAAGTCTTAAATAAATGCAAAGCAATGATAGACGGATTACCTTTGATAGCACCACCAAAAGGTGTTTTGTCTGCAATGTCTTGGGCCCCTGGATGATGATAATAATTAGGGATTATCTCATGCATGTGGGGGGAAAAAGGTCAATAGGTACCATTGAGGATAGCGCCGCCAGCATTGGTGACGACACTTGCCACATCGTTAAGAACTTGGCGAGCTATATCATTTTAGTCTCTTTCGTGAAACCAGGAAAAGCAAAAGAGGATAGGGGGTGGAAGACAAAGAGAGAAGGAAAAAGAAGTGAAATACCTTGCAGGAAATGACGGGTGTGTGCCCTCGCCTGAGCACTGGGCTTCATGAAGTTCGAGATTACTCGTTTGGGATCCACCGGTCCAGAGCTCAAAGTGCGGCCCAATGCCGACGCTTTCACACTTCCCAGCTCCTGGTCTCTGATCACAGCGGTATCTTTCTGTCCACCGCACACAGCAGAAGGACAGTCACGGCGTACGCCATCGACAACTATTATCAATCAGTATATGAAACAATGAGCCGATTGAAAGTTTCAGCAGAGTAACTATCAATTACCTGTCAGTCCTGGCATTTCGACACCGTTCGCGCCATTGATCTGAGTTATCAGTCCATGTGCAGCCACCTTGTTGGAAACCAGCAAAAGAATATATACAGCCGCCGTGAATATCATATTTGGTGAAACTGGCAAGACAATAAATAAATGTAAGCAAAAATATCAAAGACTCGAAAAATAAACTACAGGCTCAGACTCGTCACTTTATATGGATATCATGATCATCCGAACTTCAAGTTTCTTTGCAAGGTCTCAACATGAAACACTAACAATGATGAAACCTCAACCTAAAACCATTTGTCTTGAATCGAGCTGTTTGAATATGGCTTCAAATAATTAAAAACTGGTCGACCAGTTTCATGTCTTCTCCTTACCAAAATTGAGCTCCTTGGCATTGTTCGAGGATGAAACTAGTCAGTCCGAGGATGTATTCGCCCCACTCTATTAACATAATGGATTCGAGACGACGGAAAAGTTGAAACCCCCAGGAACACGTGAGATCCTTGCCAAAGCGGAGGTTACGGACCCACATAGCGCATCTGAGTTCCCCTGAACGCAAGGAAGCTCTCTTTCTTTTGCTGCCACGCGCTACGTCTTGTATCAAGAGTCGACTATAGCTTTCGTCAATATTGATCATTGATCTGAAAGTTACGCTCCTCATCAGCAGATACGTGAGACTTTCACATGGTAGGGTCAGGCTCCCAGGAGCTCTCAGCTAAATTTAGACCAATCATTTCTACGGAGTCTTTGTGGATAATTTTGATTAACCATGGCACATATTGGCTTATCATTCCTCTGCTCTATTAGTGATATCTAATTATAGCATTCTAATCAACGACCCACAGACTCCTGGGAGCCAAGGCCAGTTATGAGTAAGCTGTTTCAAAGACGACCTGTGAGCATGTGGGCCATTGCTGGCACTAATTGGCTTAAATTTTCCGAGTACCCACTCGCCTCCGCTTCGTTTTGATAAGGGTATTGCCATACGCAAAAATGAGACTGATCGCAAAGATTTGTTCTGCAAATTGCAATTGACCAATAATCTGACTCACCAAAAAGAGACTCTGTTGTGAGACGGGGCTGTATGGATCAGTCCCGCGCCCCACTATAGCTTGTATCTACTTGATGTTGTGTAGGTGTGAATGCACTTTCTCCGATATGCAAGGTAGGCAACGAACAACCCTGCGGTCCGCCTGCCCTTGGTGAGTTGCTGTTGTGGAGTCACGGGCTCATCGCCGGTGAGTGGGAGGAAGTCGCATGATCTCGTCGCCTTGCCCGTCGCAATAAAGGGCGGACTGATGGTGGTGAATGTTGATAACTGTTATCGGTTTTTCTCTGCGGTTTTCTCATGACTGTTTAAACGATGCCAACAGCCAGAAATGTTTCTATTTCCTGTCTGGACCACCCGGTGCAAAATTCAATTCCTCTGAGAGCTATATTAAACCCATGATGAAATGTTGAGTCAGTCATCATTGAAGAGAAGTTCGTTTTTGAGCCCTCGCAATTAAAAACGATGATCTCATTGACGCAGAGTAAATGCCTTGCTGAATAGCTATAATACCCGGCCCCTTGCCAGCAGTACCGTCGTTCGCAATAATTCCTATGTGGCTCTGGATCAAAGGATGTCGAACAGGATTCGTCTCTGTGGCGCCTCTTTGGTATGGATTGACCTCTAAATCATGCAATGAAATGAATTTACCTCTTACATTATAAAAGCCTAGCCTTTCTCAATAGTCAAACCTTTGAGAAGTGAGTGTAGCTGCCCAATCATTTGAAATCATGCTAACGCGGTGGATACTCAATATTAGCCCATCCTCCGCTCAACTCTGAGAATTTATTGAACAAACGTTTCAGGAGCTGGAGTGGTTCAAGCTATCTTCACAAGCTACCTACTAATGGTTGATGATACTGTAAATAGATGTCATGCTTTACAGAATTCCCTACAGTGAGCAGAAATTACCGACAACGTGAGTCCAAAAACTACGACAAAATTGATAGCAGATATCATGTGCTGTCGACCCTCTATATAGGATGGCAAATGTTCTATCGCGCGTCACTCAATGTCTTGTAAGTCACGCTCGTGCTTTGTCCCTGCCCATTCCCAATGACCGGTACTGCATTTCAACTCCGTACGAATGCTTTCCGTTCGTGGCTCTCTATCCTCGTCAAAGATCGCTGATGGTTCTTTTCAATCATAGGGCGCGCGTTCATATTCCCCTCGACCTGACAGAGCCATGTTTCCCCTACATCTTCGAAACTAAACCATCTTTATCAACCTGATGGGCCAGACCACCGAATCTCACTTCACTCGCGTCTCTGTTATTTCCGAGGACGAGGCTCAAATGGCCACTTCACCTCGCTTATTAGCGGGCCCAATTCACAAGGCTTGATACCCTCTGCTTAGCCATCCGGTAAAGTTCCAAAGCGTTTTCGTTCGTCTCTCCGGCATTACCTGGTCCAGGCAAAGGCTGACAGCCAATGTACTAGTAATTCGCAATATTCTGACGGCTACTAATATGCTACCCGACGTCCGATCCGAAGACTTGTCGCTGGTCACGAGCCGGCCTCACCGCTGACTGAGCGTGCCATCAGAGCATCCGCAACAACAAGAAACCGAGAATCGATGACCATCAAAAGGGCAGATATTTATCCGAAAATAGCATCGGCTAGCACGTTGAACTGACGTTATGGCCTGAATCCAAAGGCCAGTGACTTCAACCCCGATTGCAGCTGAGCAAGCGATAAGACAGGCCGTTCCTCAGATCTCCCCGACATCCCTCGTCGCGAGAGCAGTCATTTTCAGGTCAGGTCGAAGTTTTTCGCAAAAAAATACCATGAATCTCTTTCCAGTGATACTTTGCCCTGCCACAGTTGAAAATTTGCCCAGAGCTATGCATTAGCAGGTATGGCTACATCCAGTGGTACAAAGTAATCCCGGGCCCTAGTGTATGTGGGATCGAGCTGACACCTGCCATCTCGCGTCTAGCTTGCCTATGCTGATACCAGTCTGCATTACGGCAAGTCGGCCCACCCTCGGTCACCAGAAATCATGTTAACATAGACAGGCAGTGAGACAGCCCTAATTCAGTTGTTCTGGTGAGTCCGATCGAGAATCTGCATTATAACTGGTTTAAGGGGACCTCATCTAGGCCGCGAACAAGGCATATTGCGAACAACTATCTTGCGCAAGCTGCTGATAATCGGTGCTAGATTAGGTATATCCAACGGCAAATTGCCTTGGCTGTGGCCTGGTGCAGACGGTCATTAAAGCTGCTACCATGGCTTATTCATAATTGATGCTGGTAAGCACATTTCCATCTCGAGGATAATTCGGAAGGCAACTAAATTAGTCAAGTCACTGTAATGAGATTTGGTATTTTCCCCAGATGCTATGCTCGAGGCAGCCGCACGCCGACCAAATGCCTCATCGCTCTCACCGACTCGCACGTACCCGCCGGCAGAAGTAGCCTCGCCGGACCGGCCAGTCGATTGCCGAGACGGTCATAATGGCGCAGTTGTTATTTGTTATTTGAAAGATGCAGGTCGGTTTGAGATATATGTGAAGAACGTCTTGAGATATATGTGAAGAAGACGTTCTCACTGACATCGATCGTAGCGGTTGATGTTACTCTCAGTCTCAGGCGTGGCATGTGTGTTTTACGCGACGCGTAAGTGCACCCAGCCTTTGCCCGCCGTAGCATGTTTCTGGTGCGGCAGGTCCTCGACGAACATCAATTTCAATACCGCCGGTTGCTGACTTTGGCGGGCATGTCCAACCACTTTCATTGGAGATCAGCAAAAGGTAAAATTTAAATCGTAGAGCGAATACTCGGGAAATGGTTCAAAAAAAAAAAAAGCGGGCTTTGAGTTCAGGCGGACCGCATGGACGAGTTCTGATGTACCCTGCGGGAATCGAACCCGCTTCGTTACAGAGAGCCAAGTGAAATGCCACTAGACCACGCAAAGAGAAGGGTTGCCGGCGCCGATTTTGCTTGACTATACCCACTAATTTACAAATAATCATACCCGCTCGTTCTTCGGGGCACACATCCGACAAGACCAGCGTTTCGGGGCTCGAGAAATGGCTTTCATTCGATCAGGCCGACTCCAAATAATAACTGAAAATTACTCGGAAGAATGAGGCTTTCTATCGCCCGTACCCCAATGGTTCTTTGCCAGTTTACCCCTATCATGCATATAATAGAAATGGTCTAGGGATATATATTGCAGGTATCGAGTTAGCATTCGGGAACACTACATCAGATATTAAACAGAACATGGTCAAAGAGCACGCGACGAATCTCGAGCCGAGAGAATGTCACACAGAAGACCGACCGGAGGAAATACTACCATCACGAATCTGATATTTAGAAATCATCGTTTCGCACTGTTTCTCAACTTTTGCGTATGGAATAAAGACCCTCACTATGACGGGATGGGTGTTTACTCTTCTTGGCCGCCGTTTCACCGCCCGGGAGTCATCCGCGCTGCTCATCACATGTTGATTCACGATTCACTGGTTCGGTCCCCATTACGATCATCACCATCTCTCAACTGTCACTCACCTCCAGCCCTCATCTCCAGCCCTCTCCATCAACGCATCCTCACCATTAACGTGTCCTCACCATCGACACGTTTTCATCATCAGCACGCCAACACTTCCTACTCACTGTCGATAACCCGCATTTCACCACGTCGAGACAGATTTTGCCACCGCTGGTAGCCAGCAAAGATACGCATTCACACAAATGGAGGCTGCTTTGGATTGCACGCGTCGCCCGGATCGGCCACCAAGCTATCATACACTGAGATCCCCACTGGCCCGATGACTCAGTGCCCTACTTTGCACTACATTGAAGAAATGCCCGTTGTCGAAAGCCAGGGCGTGATTCAAGGCTACATAAAACTTTACGTGAACAAGGGTCATGGATATTGAAGTCTACAAACAGCTGAATGGAATGGCCTAAAGTATACTGGATGATTCTTGATTCTTTCGATTCTTTGGAGCAGGTCTTGGCTTCTTCGAGGACTCCCCCGAATACTAGTCTCTGACACCACGAAGAGGTGCCTGCAATCGCCAGAGGATCAGGACGAGGACCGCGGCGCCACGGGTCACC